AAGTGTTTTATAAAGTTAACATATGTGGAAGACCATGCTCACAGCTCAATATCAAAACTGTAAAAAAGCAGCTCTAAGGTAAGGTTACTGTATTTGCTAACATTGATTTTGATATGATGTCTGTGACGTTACAGAACAATTTTAAAAATGGCTAACTTAGTTTTTCTTTACTTTCTTTACTAGCTGCTGACATGTAGCTTAATAAAAATACAAGTAAACAAGCAGTTTGTGCACTATTTGCATTTAAATTCTGTGTAAACATATATATTAGCAACAGTCTATTTGCTCTACCCTGCTGGAAAAAAAGACCATTAGGATTGAAACCTAATGGTTTTGCTTTGTAGTGGGAATTGGCTTAATTGGCACCACTGGTTTTGATGGATGTTTTGAATAAATAATCTTTATTTTCTGATAATGTTAACAAGTAGTGTTTATTAACCAAAGAATAGTAATCTTCACACTGTAAAATAGGCATTAGCTTCAAAGCCTGTTTGTAAAAGGGGCCTCCTGAAGCTTGTTAGGATCTGCTGTGTGAGCAAGAAGAACTGCCCTTGAGATAAGAACCAGCCCTGGAACAGGTGAACTTAAAATGCAACCAGTCAAAAGTTAATGTCCTTGGGTACTGGAACATTCTGGTACAACTAAGATAAGATATTTCTTAAAAAACATATTTCATGTATGATTGGAAATAAGGGTTCCCAAGTGCAGATGTGACGGTTCCCATGTACATATAAGGTTTGGAGATAATGGGAACTAAGACGGTATTGGATTCCATAGAAAAGGAGGGGCGATTTCTTCGTCGCCCCAAACAGGATATAAAAGTGGGTGTTTTTGACATGTTCTTTGCATTGTGGTTGTCTGGGAACCATCTTGCCATCCAAGCTCAATAAAGCAGAAGGCCTTTTCCTTCCTTCCACAAGAACTCAGCGACTGAAGTCTTTTATTTTACTTTGCTTTTTACACTTTGACATTTTTCTTATTTTGTTAGAAGTTATATTGCAGTTAGCTCTTAAGGTAACAGTAGTAGAACACGCTAGGAGGATCCATCTCTGTCCACGGGCCTTGAGCACAGAAGAGAGGCTTTTGGGCCTGACAGTTTCCTGTAGGACACCTTTAGATCCCATTAGGAAAGCCTCTCAGTCCCAAAACACCGGTTAAACCATTACAGTCCTTTACACTGTGATATCAACTCATCAGGAAAACACAAAATACCATCACTGACTAGTGACTGAATAGTCACTAATGGTGTTTTGTGTTTTTCCTGATGTTTTGACAGCGTAAAGGATGCTAATGGTTTAACACATGTTCTGGGACTGATTCCAAATGTATCCCACTCCTAATAGTTCTAACCGTCTCTTTTATGTGTACTAGAAGCTGTAAATAAAGGGAGAAGCCCTAAAACAGAGCCTTGTAGGACACCATGTTGAACTCTTCTATGTTCTGAACATAGCGGGTTACATGGTACACTGCACAATCAGGAACACTCTGTATGAGAGCTTCAGCTGTAGATGGTAATTAGACAATTCTTGTGAACACAGAATTTATTTGAATGATCTATCAAGCAACATTAACATAACATAATGATAGCTATGCAAGTTGCTATTTACCTAACTATACAGAGCAGCACGTGGCAATATGATAGCAACCTGGTGAACAATCTGTTTACCTCCCAGCACAAGATGCCGGATGTAGATTCAAGTAACTGACTCCCATTGTGCCATTGTTGGCCAAAATGAAAACTGGCATCTTGTTGGTGCTTGTGCAGCAGATGAAAACTGGGGCCAGATTCTGCTGGAAGCCCACACAGCAGAGACAGGAGGTGGTGCTGTTATACCGTCTGAGGCCTGCTCATATTCGTAATGGACAAGCCTCCTTTTCCAAGCGTGCACAGTAACTGATTTTGACATGATAAATGAAATTAACATTAGTAATCACAACAAAGAACTGTCAAATACTGAGGGAGATATTAGCATGATGGCACCCTGTAGAAGAGGCAGGACACAAATACAAGAAGTTGTGCAAGAAGTTATATTGCAGTTAGCAATAGTTTGTCTGTATTATTAAAAGATAGTCAATAGGTGTTGCTTGGAAATGTGTAATTTAGACACACACTATGCATCCAGTAGATGGCGCTGTTTTAGTTTGATTTCCTAAGCTGAAAAGTGTTTTATAAAGTTAACATATGTGGAAGACCATGCTCACAGCTCAATATCAAAATTGTAAAAAAGCAGCTCTAAGGTAAAGTTACTGTATTTGCTAACATTGATTTTGATATGATGTCTATGACGTTACAGAACAATTTTAAAAATGGCTAACTTAGTTTTTCTTTACTTTCTTTACTAGCTGCTGACATGTAGCTTAATAAAAATACAAGTAAACAAGCAGTTTGTGCACTATTTGCAATTGCATTTAAATTCTGTGTAAACATATATATTAGCAACAGTCTATTTGCTCTACCCTGCTGGAAAAAAGACCATTAGGACTGAAACCTGATAGTTTTGCTTTGTAATGGGAATTGGCTTAAATGGCAGCACTGGTTTCCTGTAGGACACCTTTAGATCCCATTAGGAAAGCATCTCAGTCCCAGAACACCCGTTAAACCATTATAGTCCTTTACACTGTGATATCAACTCATCAGGAAAACACAAAATACCATCACTGACTAGTGACTGAATAGGTGTTTTGTGTTTTCCTGATGGTTTGACAGCATAAAGAATGCTAATGGTTTAACACGTGGGTTCTGGGACTGATTCCAAATGTATCCCACTCCCTAAAAGTTCTAGTGGTCTCTTTTCAGCAGGGCAGGAACAAACAGAAACTTTTGATGGTTCCTGTTTTTGTTCTTCTTGTTTCTTTATATATACAGAGCCTCAGATGGTAAAAAATGAAAATAAGGGAAGGAGTGTTTGTAATTTGTGAGCATGTTTTCTTTTATACATGGCAGCAATTTCTTAAAAGACTCCCATGATTAACAAATCATCAGTTTCCTTGTTTTCTTTTAATCATGCATATGTTTTCTTTTTGATTGTGCGCACATTTTCTTTTATTCATGCGCAAACATAATAAATATTGTAGATACAGGCTGTTTTATAAAACAGGCTTGATTTGTGAAAACTTTCATAAGCAGAGTTCTATGCATTTGATTTATTTGTACAGCTCTATTCATATTTTCATTTGTAATAATATTTCAGTGATTTGGCCAAATATTGATCATGTAGGGCTGATCATGTAAAGAGATGAAAGCAGGCTCAAATGAATTCACCCAAATTGTGAAATGTTTAACAACAATATTTTTTTTCTGTTAGTCCTTTATTGAACTAAAATGCTAAAAATTCTACAAAATAGAAAACTTTGACTTGGGGGCACTATTTCAGATAAATACACTGCCAGTAACCATTTTTAGTAAAATAAATCTTTCTACCTTCTAAAATGAAAGGAAAGTTCTGGACAAGTGATTAGAAACTTTTTTAACCTTTCGTTTTTTAGCAGTTTAACTCCATTCACCCGCTTGTGGGCGCCCTCTTCTGTTTTGCAGTCCTGTTTTTGATGTAACGGAGGGCCAGGCTCCTCATAAACCAGCTCTGAGAAGGATCCATCGGTGCGTCCTCAGAATTCAGCCGAAATAAGTCCGCGTTTCTCGGCCGCATTTCAAGGATCCTCCACGTTCTTCTGAAATAGGACGGTACTCATGACATACACGGCCGAGAAATGGAACCTTTAAGGTTGCAGCCGCGTAAATGAGACACAGCATTAGAAGCAACACACACTTCACCTGGCAGCAGCCACTTTAAAAATTGTTACATTTAGGCCACATCTAAGATCTTCGGGCAGTTTGTTACAGTTATATGCTGCATAACAGCTAAATTCTACTTCACCATGTTTAGTTTGGACTCTGGGGTCTGCTGGCTGACCTGAGCCCATGAACCTAAGGCTACGTTTACACAGCAGGTAAAAGTGGCCCAAATCTGATTTTCTCACCAAATCTGATTTTTTTGTATGGCTGTTCACAATATCTTTTAAATGTGACCTGTATGCGACATCAGTATAAACAGATAACGCTCCTAAACCGACCCGCATGCGCAAAAGAACAGTGCGTCACGTGGCGGCTCGTCCAGAAGTAAACAGTCATGACGGCCGGCGAACGCCAGTCGCTCCCGGAGCTTCAGTTTCGTCTTCGCCAGCATTGCAGGAGCGATTATGAAGTTCCGATGGTTGACAGTTGAGCTCATCACCCAGAATGTGTTCGAGTTCGTCGTAAAAAGGGCGCGTTATTCGGCTACGGGGTTAGTTTTGTGCCAAAATGTTTGAGAGAAGATCCTGATGTTTGAGAGAGGAATCCCAGTGAACATTTGGCCGTTGAAACAACGTATCTGACAGCCGTTTAAACTACGCTTTATTAAGGTTGAGAATGAAAGTTGAAAAGACGTCTAAACTTAGCCGTTGAAAAAACGACCAAAATAGTCACATTAAAGACGTCATTTTAAGGACGTTGATTTAACGTTGAAATCACGTAACAACATAACTGCTGTTTAATTTACGTTTTCTAATGGTTGAAAATGAAAGTTGAAAAGACGACCAAAAAAGTCACAGTAAAAACGTCATTTTAAGGTGTTCTAAGGCCTTGGAAAAAATGTTAAATAATTAAATAAACTGAAATATACTACCAGAGTCACCTAGCAGACGTAGTTTCTGGGTTTAAAGGCATTGAAAATTAATCCAAAATTAATTTCCACTGGTACACTCTCAAAAAAGATAGCACTTTACCATGAATCCTATATAGAACCATTTCATGCTTAATACACTGTACAATAATAGAACCTTTTTGGTGCTATATAGAATCAATTTTTTCTATATAGAACCATATACAACACATTATCTGTCAAAGTGAAGAACCTTTTCACCATGCAAAAAATCTTCCTGTAGTTAACTAACAATTTTGATTCCAATGTAAACATAAAACAAACTTTGTTAAATGGAAACTTTATTGAAAACGTGTAGTTATTCTTAATTTCATTTGTGGAACATAAAACTGGACCATGAACTTCATCAGGACTAAGACATATAAGATCCTATGCATCAATTCAGAAAGAATTTTCACCTTTGAACCATAAGCTGTGTCAGTACTGTATAAGATTTTCAATGTTTTAATGTAAAAGAAATCAAGGTAATTATTTAACAAGACAAAATCTTGTTCATTTTAGTTTCTGAGAAGTCAAATAAGAAAAGAAAAGAAAGATAAAAGCTCTGCAGGGGGCATGCTTGAGGTGATTGGCCAAGGCAGCATCCATCTCATGAGCTGTGGCTTTGTTGTTCCACTTCAGAACTGTAGCTAATATAAAATACAAACAAGACTGTTACAATTAATGTACACACAAAGCATTAAAATCTCCTGGCAAAAACAGACAGATCTGTGGAAGGTGAAAGCCATTCTAACGTCATACTTATTACTTATTTCGTCTTACTTATCAATTAATAATCACAATGCTACAAGGCCTTTGACAGCTTTTAATTCACATATATTTAAACCTTTCAAATCTGAAATATGTTCCCATATAATATACATAATATTTTCCTGTCTGAGATGTTGCCAATAAGGAGTCATCTGATAATTACAAATCTATTTTTTTAGTTATTTTTAAATGTTTATTTCAGTGGGCTTCTAAACAACTGTGAAGGAGTGCTAACGTGATATATTCTTATAAATGCAAAGGGCTTGAGCTTGTCTCTAATTTTATATACTGTCTCTAATTTTATATATTCTCCTAAGACCCATGAGATTTCTAAACTCTATACTAAACTGCTGGGAACCAAAAGGCCTCTTATTTTGGTCAGTGTTTATTTGTTAAAGGAATAAAGCACAGTCCAAAAAAGGAACTGGGTAGTTAATAGTAGACTGGCGACCTGTCCAGGGTGTATCCTGCCTTCCGCCCAATGACAGCTGGGATAGGCTCCAGCACCCCACCGCGACCCAGAAGGATAAGCGGTTTAGATGATGGATGGATGGATGGTAGTTAATAGTACAGAATGCAGCTATATAACATAGGAAACATCACAGAAAAGCTCAGTAATATTATTTGACTTTTTTTAAATGACTTACAAATTCCAATATCAACTTTGACTGAAATGACACACTGAGAAGTCTGTGCCACCTTAATGAAGACATAGATGTGGTTTGAAGGGGTTGAAAGATGTTTTCAGGAGGTATTTACAGAAATGATTTAGGTGAATATTGACTTCTAGTGTTTGTTAGAAATGTTAGCTTCACATCTTCATTGCTAAAGACACAATATTTGGATATCAATTATGTCTTGGCTAAAAGGCTACATTGGGGGTAAGCAGAAAATTGTTCAAATTTTATGTTTTGCTAAACCATTCCTTTAGATAGGTTCTTAGTCATAAAATGAGTATGGCAACTGATAACCAGGAAAACTGTACATAAATTGTTAACACATTACGTTTTGTTGTGTTTGTGATAATACTTACTTTTTTAACTTGTGTGCATTATTTGACCACTGCCAGTATGTTGTTGTGGCACACAGACAAATCCAGTCAGCTTCTGGAACAAATATTTGTTTGCAAAAGAAGATACAGCTACAGTTAATTCAGTAACTTATCTCATAGAACATTTCATTGTCTAATAAAAACTCACTAATGATTTCAACGTGTGTAACCAAAGCTAAAGAACAAAGTATTAGAATGACTGCCACATTTTCCCCTGCCTACCAACATTTAGAAACACATCTGTAGCTTCTGCAGCTGTATAAAAAAATAAGCTAGCTAGCGTTAGCTACTCAAATTACCTAGTTGCATAAGCTAGCTACTTTCAAATACTGTAAAATAATCATTAATTGTGGTACTAATGGCTAACTTTTACAAACGAGCCCGCGCAAAAATCCAAGAATAGCTAATGTCAGAAAACGTGTGTTGTCGTGATGAATCAATAGTGTTAGCTAGCGAGCTTAGCTTTTATCAGGACCTTCACCATCAATGACACTGAACTGAGGGAAATAAAATGACCGTTACCTTCGTTAATAAGCTTTTAATTCGCTATATTCAGCCAATGCAGACAAATCTTTAAATCTACGTTAATGACGTGCAGCACCGACCGCTATGTTTCACGTAGTTAGCACGACTGTTCAGCACTAGCTAACCTTAGCAAGGCAGCTTCAGCAGCTGTATCAAATACTAGCTAGCTAACTGGCTAACATGTACCCTCTATTCATAAACAAACGATAATACTAGCTAATATTTAAAGATTCGTTGTAAGCTTAGTGACTTGTATATGGCAAAAGGTCTAACCTACCTAAAACGGCCAACTAACGTTTACTCACCTGGATCAATGAGACAGTAAGGCCGTATGCGGTGGGCGGCTCGCTGAAGACTTTCTCAAACGAGAACCTTCCAAAGGCGCAGTGATTGGTGTCTGTTCAGACGGATATCGCGTCTTCTTTTAAACCGCTTGATACATCCACCAAACCCACAGCTCTTAAATGACAGGACTGCCTTGCTAAAAGTGGAAATGCAGTTGCAAACAGGATTGCAAATACATTTTCATTCTGGCAGAGCCGGAGCGCCATGAGGACGAAATACAATAAAATGGGCGTTTTTTATGTCTGACCATATTAAGATAATGAAACGCTGCTTTTCTGTATTAAACGTTTCCAGCTATTATACACTGAAATTAAAGCGCAAATAAAGTTGCATTCAAATTCGAATTGTGTCTTAAATAATACACACTGCTATGAGATTTACAATTACAAACACCATTTAGCACTTGCATTTAAATTTGAAAAAAGTCCAGAAAATGAAGAAAAGCTGATGGCACCATGTGAAATAATGACAACCACACTCCATGTGACGTCATATGGCATGTTCTTTAACACCACAAAGACAAGTGAAATATTATCAAGCTTCAGCAATCAGCATCTAACAAAACAGTAAGCCAAAACCATCTATATTTAACATTTGGTATCTTTGAGAAAAGAAACATAGCATCTCTGGACTGGAATACAGCTTTCTTTTTGTTTCTTATTATTATTATTATTATCATTATTATTATTATTATTATAAGTTGTAGTTGTAGTTGTAGTAGTAGGCTAGAAGCAGTGGTACTGGTACGGTTATTATCTTGATCGTTATAATTATTATTGCGTTATAGTGAAACGTCCATTGACGTTATTAGTAGGTCACCAATGAACTGACTTTATAAAACTGATTTTGGACGTCTGTTGACGCTCATAACATGTCCCCGACTGACCGACTACTTTTAAACACATTTTGAACGTCCACGGACGTTCTTTGTTTACTGGGATGGTCCGGTTTGAGAGGACAGCGGCGCTCTGAGCGAAGATAATGAAGCTCTTCACCTTCAAAACGCGCACGTGCGCGCAAATCATTTCTGCTCTCACCTCCGCAGCGCGCGCTCAACTTTCACGTCTGCTCGCTGTAAAATGTCTGAATGTTTGTGCCAAAACTCCAGCCAATCAGAGCTGCCGAGGGGCCGCTCCTGTCAGCGCACCAATCATGGCGTCTTTTATTAAGCAACTTAATGCCAATTGGTCAAGGCACGTTCGTGGCTGTGGTATTGAGTCGACTAGTCTGCTTGTAGCCTCGACATTAGCTACATGGTTTATAGCTTTCTAGTAGCAAATGAATAGAAATGATTTATCAGTAATACTCTGTCAATAATAACGTATTAATCTAACTAACATTGGTAGCTCGGCCATTTGTTTCCTACTAGAGGCTTAACGGTAGCTAACTTCAAATAAACAGCTTAACATTAATCAACTAAGCTGACGTTAGCAAGGTTTCTTTGAATGTAGCTATTATTTAAATGTAGCTTATTTAAACCCCCTCACTGTGCTTCTACATTTTCCTTGTGCTGAACATTTAAGCTGCATCCAAAACCCCACAAAATATGTGGTTTTGGACGCAGCATTGGTCTCGTAAGTGCTATGGATACCACCAGAGTCCTTGTAGGAAAGTCTGTCCACATGAGTAGTGTCTTGGCAACACCACCAGGCAGCTGTTTCCAGTTGTGCAAGACCAGACCCCTATCTCTTTGAATTAGGAGAGATCCATAAAACCGAAACCAAAAGCCAAATTAATTAAAAAAGGCTTTCGTTCAGCAACTTTGATAAGCAGAGCAGCAACAATCTGTTTATTTAGTATGAACAGAATAAGAATTTACATAAAACCAATAATGGGGTAAACCAGAAAATAAATATATATTTTTTGATGTAAAAATGCAAGGCATTAATGTTTAAAATACAAATGTAATAATGAGCACAGTTTAATGGTGTTTTTATTACTCATGAATTTTAAGGATTTGTAAAACATAGCCAAATCTGTTTTGAATGCTAACCAACTGGGAGAGTTTCTAAAGACTCTCTAGAATCATTAGAATCTAAAAAAACATATATGTATGTAGTCTTTAGCCAAAATTATAATAACTAAAAATTCTGGCTTAGAATTATCAATAAAGATACCATATTCTATGAATTTATATTCCAAGTCAGGTAATTCAGATTTAGTTTTTAGCCAAGCATAAAGATTTTTCCTAAACTTTTTAAATTGCTTGCAGGAGAAAAATAGATGTTCTGTTGATTCTACATCTTCTCAGAAAGTGCAAGCATGACAGTCCATATTAAATCTATGTCTTAGGAATTCATGTTGTTTATAGTTGTACTTCCTTCGCTTTGGGTAAGATAGGAAAAGAAAGCTATTTTGTTCGAATTTTAATGATTTTCACTTTTCCACAGTCTAATTCCAGGTCTGTCTGAGTGGGGGTGGAAACACTAATTCTGTGGTTAACGTCAGTGAGCACGAACAGCCAATGAGCTGCTCGGTTCGCCATCCAGTCAGCACTTAGTCGCAGTAATGCCAGCGTCCTGCTGCCCAAAACACGTTTGTTGTAGAAAAAATGAAACATACAGTTACGTTTTCTTAGCTTTTTAGTGAAATATATCCTTCAGCTTTCTAAAATTAAAACATTCTAGGCAAGTGGTTAGAAACTATTTTAACGTTTCGTTTTTAGCCGTTTAGCTCCATTCTCCCCAATCATTTGGGACTCGCTCGCGGGCGCTCTTGGTAGCCACGTTTAACAAACATAGCAACAGTAACTAAGGGGGGCGGGACATGTGCCCGTGTAAACCCGTCGTCAAAATAAACAAAGAACGCAGGATGTAGGACCTTCATACTGCCATGAAGACGTGAAACAAATCAGTAGCAACGACGGGAAAATAATCTTAAGAGGAAACGGGCGAAGTTGACCCCCTCCACACCCACGCGCGCACACAAATCCCCCAGATCCCCTCACTTAGTGACCTGCGAATGTCTGCGTTTCTCCAACGCAGGGATGGTATCACTAACGCACAGTCGCTTGTACCTAAGGGGCTAGACTATCATCTCTGACCTCTGGTGGTAATTTTCAACAAATACAGGCTGTACACACCAGATCACCAGCTGATGAAATCACTTCGAGCCGGACGTGTTTCCAGAAACATGTTTATGTAGAGTCAGTGTCGATTAAATTTCATAATGCGGACTAATCACTGTGCTCGTACGTGTTAACTTCAAAGCGCCGTCAAGCCACGGCTGAGGGGCGTTTACATTCCCAACCGCCCCACCCTTCCACTTTCTCTCTCTCCCTCTCTCTCTCTCTCTCTCTCTCTCTCTCTCTCTCACTCTCTCCCTCTCTCTCTCTCACTCTCTCCAAACCCCGCAGACTTACCGTGAGAGCGCGTGTTTTTCCGTCACTGAGTTTAACATTCTCTGCAAGCAGAATGAAAGATGCACTTTGTCCTTCTCTCTCGTTGCGGAGGAAACCAAGAGGACTTTGCTGATTGTATATTCTTAAATAAAAGGCTGTTTTATACGACTGTGACACACACGCGTTTGGACTCTGAGCAGAGGCCGATTTTAGGCTCTTTTCCAGAGTCATGCAGGTAGGTCACCTCAGCGCTGTGACACTTATGCTCTGTTGTACGTGTAACAGCTTTAAAGCTCACTGATTTAACGGTCATGCAGGAGTATTGGAAATGTGTGCTCAGCTTTGGGTGGGCCATCAGTGGGCGCACTTGTACTCAACTTTTACATTACGTTATTTATGAAGTTTAATCGCATTCCTGTGAACTGTTCAAGCTTTGACACCATTCAAATATGCACCTCAAGCCTATGTTATCGTAGTATAAGCCTGTAATTTTCATGATTACCCAGTCATTACAGCGTTGTATACCCACTCCATTTATGACTTTATTTTCCTCTTCAGATGAACTTGGGAGGACAAGCGTGGATTAAACGCCAGTTTTAGGAGATGGTGCATCGTGAGTGAGGAGCAGAAGTGTGGGGATGGAGATGTAGTCCCTGTCCTTTAACACACTGCCTCCTCCCAGTTCGCGTGGTGGGCCAGGACTGGGATTATGTCTGGGAGAAGGACGGAGCAGCACCAATGTTACATGGATTTTGCGCCTTTGATTCTATACTTCGTCGTCGTGATTATGCGACAAGCCAAGTGTCATTCAGTGTGCTCTTCTGAGACTGTAACTGAGGTGCGAAACTTAATGAAAAGGCTGCCGATCGAGGTGTGTTTTCTTACCTTCTAAATCGCAGTAGTTACCAGCCTTCATCATGGCTGTCGGAATTTGTGCCCAAACGATGTGAAAGTGAAACTGGTTCACGTGTGTTATGGAATGTTACCGGTGAACTGTAATATCAGTGATATCACAAACGTCAGCGAAGAGCTCATCATTTTATGAGCTGTTTGCTGATGTTTGTGATGTGGACTCGGATTACTGTGTTAAGTGTCAAGTGTGTTAGATTACCTGACACACGGTTTGAATCTGAAGCTCGGAGAAAGAAGCACAGTGCACGAGCGCTCCGTGAGCAGGATCGGGAAAAACTGATTTAGATAATGAACTTTGGCGCTCATGCGCGGTGCATTTTTCTCAGAGCTTCTGATGTGAATCAGGGGCCGTATTACAGAAACGTCTTACCTTTTTGTCTTAAATTAATCTGAGAGGTCAAGATTAGATTTTTCACAAATTCGTATAACAGAAGTAAATCTTATCTTGATGTAGGAATCTTATCGTACAGCATCTGGTCCTATCTCGAGTTAGGAAACTTAGTCGATCGAAGTCGACAATCAACTGGCATGTCTGTTACCTAGCAACCCACCATACACGCACAGCTGAAACGTAAACACCTTATCAAAATAATCCAGCTGGTTAGCCAGACAGCTAGCTACCGCTACTGATGTAAAAAAGGCTCAAAGGCTCACAAAATTAAAAGCACAATAAACTACAAGTTAAGAATATTGTGAGAGCGTTTCGTGCTGTTTATCAGAGCGTCGCTTCTTCGTAGTTTCAGTTTCAGTTTCCCCGAATGCTTCAGTCGACCGCGCTAACATTACTCTTCCTAATAAACAGACGTTCAGCTCTGTATCCTCATTATTCACCACCATCACTTTAATATTTTGTCTGAAGAGTTTTCATCAACATTAACACACAAAGGTAATAATGAGGGGACGGTGGAGATTGTCTGCAGTGTCTGGGGTTATTAAAAAGCTATTAGTCAAAGCACCGTTTTCAATGTAATAAAATAAATGTTGGATTATTATGGTAGTTATAGTGAACTATGCCGCCTGTCACTGCATAAAACGATAGAAACAGACGGTTAAAACAGAAGATAAGTCACCTCTGGGGTTTTCTTAAAGTTGGGACAGATTTTAGGAAATGTTTAGTTAGGATGTTTCTGTAATACAGTTTTCCTGTCTGGAGTTAGGATAAGATTGTGACTTAAGAACTGTTGTTCTGTAATAGCTTCTGTCCTAAATTCAGTCCTAACCAAAGTTGTAATGGTGACTAAGCAGATACTTAAGAAGTTTCTGTAATATGGCCCCAGGTCTTTTAGATCACATAATTTAAACTGCGTATGGCAGGAGTTAATCTAGAACCATGACCAGAACAACAAATGTTCATATAACCTGTTCATATAACATTAATGATAGCATAATCATTAGTCTTTTTGATACTGATGCCAATATGTTCTTGTCTTATTGCAGGAGTTGAATAATTGCAAGCTGTACACGCCAACTCTAAATGATTACGAGGTATATGATTTTGCATGTGGTTCAGGTATTTGATGATGAAGTTTCAGGTTTTGAATTTGTTGGGAGTTGAGTTATGTAGCCTCTCATTCTCAACATGTGTTTAGTTAGTTGTAACACACTATACTAATTTGAGTCCTTAGGCAAGACTCTTAATGCTACATTTGTCTGCCTCTGTAACATGATTAAACTGTCAGTCTGGATAAGAGCTTCTGCCAAATGCCATGCAATATTCTCAAGATGGTGCATATAGAGCTGTCATTATTCCTGCACTGGAATTGGAATTCTTAATTTCATAAATAACAAAGTGTTATTAAAAGTAATATCCCAATCAGTGAAATAGAAATGTGTTTGTAATTTAAAGACTTTTTTAGGCATGAGCTTACAATGTACTAAAGAAACCATCTGACATTTGGTGTTTTCTTGAATATTTTAGAGTAACAGAGCTGTTTATTCCTTTCAGTAATAGGAATTCAGCAGTTTCCTTGCTTAAGCAGAAACTGAATGCGCAGCAACATCAACACCAAACATAGCTGTTTACATTTAGCCCATTAGGAATTCCAGAGTTCTTGTCTACGCTCACTAAAGTTACCTTAAACTTATGTCTTCTGTCTCCAGCAGAACTGCTCCAGGTCCATGCTGAAATGCTTTGAAAAGGAGGCCGCTGTTCTTATAACAGAGAACAATGGAATTCCTTCTAAAAAATTAATTATGATGCTGCACAAGCTTGCAAGACAAGTGAGTATGATTGTTTTATTTGGTTATAAATTTATAGTATAAAGCTCTACTTCTGCACAGTGTAGAAAAATTTAGTATACACAAACACGTATGTGTGTATATGTATGTATAATTCTAATCTTTCAAATCTTCAACACTGTGCATATATATTTATATAGATAGATAGATAGATAGATACATCTATAGCTAGATAGATACATAGATAGATACAGTTTACCTCAGCGATTAGGAACACTTAAATGGTCGGCCATGACTTGCTGAGGAATATATATGAGATGAAACAGGCCTAATTCCCACAGTCATCCATCACTATGAGAAACACCAGAGAATACAGCAATGATGTGCAACAAAAGGCTGTTGAGCTGCTTGAATCAGAAAATAGCTAAATAGTTAAAAATGTCCATTTTCACTATCAGTGTAATAAATTAGAAGCTTTAAACAACTGGAGATGTCAAGAATTGGCTGGGAACAAGACATATGTCTATGCTGAGCCCACACACAGTGATGAGGATAGTTCGTGTGGACAAAGAATCTTCAAGGATCACAAATGGAGAATTGCAGACATTAGTTAGGTCTTGGGGTCACAATGTCTTCCAAACTACAATCAAACACCACCTATATAACCACAAATTGTTTGGGGAGTTGCCAGAAGAAAACATCTGCTGTCAAGGTCCAGCAAAGTTTGCCAAACATTAATGAATTTCCAGTAAGACTGTGTTCTATGGTCAGATGAGACCAATATAAAGGTTTTTGGCAACAAACACCAGATGTGAGTTTGGTGTGGACACAAAGATAGCCATGCAGAAAAGAACCCCATCCCCACTGTGAAGTAGATCTATGATAATGTGGGGCTGGTTTTTCTCCAAAGGCCCTGGACAGCTTACTATATAAACACTAGATCCTTTGCCATGTGTTCCGTGTCTCATGAAACATTATAGGAGATTCCTTAACTCAGAGCTGTTATCTTTGCAAAGGGAGGCTGCACACAGGTGGCACACACAGATTTGAGAAAAATATTTCATGGTAACATTCAGGGTATTTTTTTTCAATCATTGAACTTTAAAAAGGTTAGATTTTTGTTAATATTTTAAATGAAAGATCAAAAGGATAAGCAATAAAGAATGTTTTTATATTTTATAAAGAAATTGTTTATGTATATATACATATTATATATATATATATGTATATATATAGAGAGAGAGAGAGAGAGAGAGAGAGCAATAGATATATATGTGTTTTAGAAGTGCTCTGGTAAAAATGTATATTAGATGTTTGAATTTCTGTTCTTTGCCTTGGCCTGGTAAATGGGAATAACATGGATTGTTCACAATTTCTGAATAATTCAATTGTTGAAATTTAAACGAAGTGATTCAGAGTGTTGTCATGTAAAATGGTCCAGTATAGAGAAACCTACTGACTCAGATTTCCTTACAGTGGTGATAGGAACCACAATGGTCACAATGTCTACACAAATATAGTTATTTTATGGCACCTTGACCCTGTCTAGGTGGTACTGGGAGGTAACATATGAGTTTGCATGGCTGTGAGATGTAGTGACATGAGCCAGGAGGAGGAGGGAAGTAGACACTGACAAACTCTGAAAGTCAGTCAGTGTTTTACTGAGTTATACTCAACATCATCATGAGTCAAAGACAAAAAAAAGAAAAACAAACACATAATACAAAAGAATATGTAGCTGAGGGAGGAGGACTTGGACGATGGCAAGGAAAAGTAAACGAAACAAAAACAAGCTAGCCTGTACTGGAGGGTTATCAAGCTACTACTAGCTTGATAGCTAGTCAGTGCAACTGGGCATGACTATTTTGGGGAGAACATTGGAGATGACCATTCTAGACCAAAATTGAAAAGCTATGTTGCGCCCATCAGGTAGTGTATTCATAACCAACTCAGTCAATAGCTTTCTTTGAGACAGCTTTTACAAGTTCTGGGGCTGGTTTCACAAAAACTTTATTGAGAAAAAACTTACGAAGGTTCTTAAGACAAACACTAAGAAGTTCATAAGGATGTTCTTAAATACAATTCTCGGAAAAAAACTTAAGAAGTTTTCAAATATTCTCTCAAGATGATTGTAATTATTTTCTTAAGATTTTCTTAAGAAAATATCTATTGTTTTCTTACGTAGGCTGTGTATAAATGACGCAAGATACATTTCGAACTTGAATCAACTGTTATTAGTTTAGTCCACTCAGAGGATCAAAATGGAGGAAAAACATCAAACCAAGTGTTTTAAAAAAGGCAAACCAGAACTAGAGTTTATGGCGGAGGAAACCGAAAATAAAAAGCCAACAGAAAAAAAATCCTACGTGGAAAATACAATAATTGTGGGGTGACGGTGGAAAGTCTGAGGCAAGATGTCTTAAGATCTGTTGTAAGATTAAGTACACATTTAAGAGCATAATATTTTCAAGAATACCTCTTGTTCTTACAATTGTTCTTAAGGAAATAGTTAAGAAACGAAAATAAAAGAATTCTTAAGATGTAATTTGAAGAATAACATTTTTTCGTAACTTTTTTCTTAAGAACGAAGTTAAGAAAAACACACATTTAAGAAGATTTTCTTTCTTAAGACACTTTTGTGAATCCGACCACTGGTTCCTATCACCACTATTATGAACAGTTCTGTGCACAGATCAGGTTCTTTAGAATGGAATATTCTGAAGCTACTCTGGATGATGATTTATTTATGGACAAGTGTTGAAAAAATGATGAGCTTTCCCTTTGAATATGTGTAATTCTTTGTCAAAAAATCTTATCTTTCATGCAGCAAATTTCTTGGAGCCCAACTCCACATCTGTGCTGATAGAAAAATAAAGTGGATTTTATGTAATTTCTGCATTAATGTCATTGTTTATGCTTTCACTGCTCATGCATTGCCCCATTTCCCTTTCATGACTCAGTCAGAGCAGAGTACTAATGCGCTCACAGACTGGAACTGGCAATTGCAAACCTGAAAATTAAAACAGCTGTGCAGCTCTGCCATGAAAGCATTTTTTCAAGCATTTTTGAGCTCAGCCTGTTATGCTTTGCTCTGTTTTTGGTACAGTCCTGCAGAGAACACACTGAACAAATGGGCTAATGGTGGCTGGAGGTTTCTCATATAAGGCGCAGCCATTTGTTTCTAATACTGGCGGCCCTAATCTATTTGCAGGCTTGTGCACAGTCATTGTTGAGGTATATGGGCTCAAGTGAAAAAAGGACAACCTGAACTAAGATGAAATTCAGTGTAACAGACAACATACAGTAAACATGCTTATCCAGAAAGGCAGTCTAATTATATTTGGAAGAAAAGCATATGTAGTGTTGTAGTCATGTTAAAGCAGCACTATGTAAGTTTTTTTTTGTAAAATTTAAAAAAGTAGCATTACTACTTCAGGAGGAGAAAAATGCTAAAATAGGGTGTGCATACATCTGCAAGTCACCCTGTAAACCCTAAAATGACAATTTAAAAGTCAGAGCTGTTTTCAAAATAGGTTTTTTGTGCTACTGTGGTTTACGGGCTAATTCACAAATATTTTGTGTCACAATATTTGTTGAATGACATACAGTTAAGGTCAAAATTATTAGCCACCAAGATGATATGGAACATTTTCCAAAGATTCTGTCCAATATTAGCATAATTCATAAAACTTTGCAGAGCAAATATTGATCATTGTAAAGGCCCCCGATTTGGTACATTTTGGATTTAAAAAAAAAAAATCAAGATTCCTGTATAACAAATTGGAGTGGTCAAATTTATTAGCCCCCATGTGAATTCTTCAAGAAAATGTAGCAAATTGAAATGTTTAGCTTTCAAATCACATCTGAACTCCATCTGACTTGATTGGTGCAACTAATTAGCATTGAACTATGCTAAATGGACTCCATTGAACAGGGCTAGTGGCACTTGACGGCTAGATTGAGATTATTTACATTATAAAGAATATATAGATTGTGTATTATATAGATTGAGATTACTCTTACATTATTTGTAACAAGTAAATTCATCATGCCAAAATAAGTCTGGACCTCAGAAAAAAGGTACTGGATGCCCATCTTAAGGAGGACGGCTATATTGCCATAATGCTATGGGGCTGTTTTGCTGCTTCAGGCACGGAAAACCTTGTTTGGGTGAAAGGGATCATGAAGAAAGAATATTATATTGACATTTTAAAGGATAATGTGAAGAAATCTGCTGCCAGTCTGACTTCAGGTTGCCACTGGGTCTTCTAGCAAGAACAACAAAATGGTCCTGGAGTGGCCCTCTCAAAGCCTAGATCTCTATACTATTGGGAATCTATGGTGGGATCTTAAAGTTATGGTCCATGTTCGAAAACCACGTAATTTGGATGAGCTGGAACAATTTGCCATGGAGGAATAGGCTAAGATCCTTCAAGAGACATGTGCCAACCTAGTTAGAAACTACAGTAAAAGGCTGCTGTCAGTTGTGAGTAAGAAAGGCTACACTATTGATTATTAATTGTAAAAGCGCTAATAATTTTGGCCTTGTCATTTTTGCTTTTTCTCAGTGCGGCAGTAAAATATCTTTGACAAACTTTGTGAAGATTCTGTCTTTGTTCTTTTGGAAGTAATTACTGTAAACAGCAGGGTTCAGGGTTGCAGCAGTCATATTTTATTTCACCCAAATAAACACAAAGCAAACACAACCAACGCTATGCTAAGCTGGCCACTTTTCAGTGGCTTCAGACAGCTAGACTTCTCAGTCCTTTATCACTTAAGCTCTTCAGTCAGTCTCTGTTGCTGCTGCTTGTCTCTCTCTCGCTCTGTTCCCTTTCAGCTCTTTTTAAAAGGTGCTCACGCTGCCAGCCAGATCAACATCAGCTGGCTCTCATTAAGGTCAGCGTGAGCACCCGAGCCGAGAGGGGAGGAGAGCTCGCTGCTCCGTCTCCTCGTCACCGCCCCCAGCTGGCAGCTCGGCCGCCCGGGTTGAACGTGAAGTGTAGTGAAGCGGCCTCGCTGCGGAACAGGGGGCGGAGCTCGTGCGGCGTAGCTCGGGACTCGCTCCTTGCCCTCGTGCCTCTTGTTGCCGGCACCGTCCTCCTCCTCCCGCCGTCACTCGCGTCACTCGGAGCTCGGGCTTTGCCGTCCGTCCCCCACCCACTCGCGGCTCTCTCCCTGCCGTCCTCGCCGGGGTTCGTCGCGGCTCGATGTTCGGGCCCCGCCTTCCGGCAGGCTCTTTTGCTTTTGCCTTAAAATGTTCCATATGAACCACTTTTTTAAATATACAGTTTAGGCCAAAACCTTCTCAAAACTATTGTAAGACAATGTATAAGGCATTAGGCTGCAGATTCATAATCATTTCATGTAATAACTTTTTGTGATGTAGTCTTTAGAGGCATTGAATGCTGGTTGTCTGGTTCCACCACTGTGAACAGTTCTGACTCTATGTTTCTCTAGAACAGAGCATTTCATATCAAACCAGTCTGAATGACCTTGTTTAAATCTTAACAGTTTATCTTAGTGGAATTCCCCATTGACTGCAAATAAATGATTTCAATACACAGGAACAGTATGTTTAATGGAAAATCTGCTTGGTCAAGCTTTGTTAACTTGTAATTAGTCAGAAGGCTTTAAGGAACATTCCAATACACAGTAAAAAACTGAGGGTATCCATCAGGATCTGACTGCCAGAAATGACTGATTATGAGTACATTAACTTAGCTTCAACCTTGCTGGTTATTTCCAGTTGATGTGTGTTTGTGTGTGTGTGCTTCTGTGTGAGTGATTGTGTAATTGTGTGTGGGCCAAATTAAAGCCAGCTCTCTATTACAATGCGTCATTTCCTGATGGATACCCTCAGTTTTTCACTGTGTATTATACACACAGACCAATTGCACATATTTCCTTGGAATGTTCTTGAGAGCCTTCTGACCAATTGTCAGAGTGATAACAAAGCTTGACCAAGCAGAATCTTTTCCATAAGACTTAATGTTCCTGTTTATTGAAATCATTTATTTGCGGTTAATGTGGAATTCCTCTGATTGTCCAAAAGTGTTGCATAAACAAACTGTTAAGTTCACAGTGGTGGTGATAGGAACTAGACAACTAAAGCATTTGATGCCTCTAAAAGCTACATCACAGAATGTTATTACATGAAATGCTTATGAGTGTGCAACCTAATGCCTGAGACACTGTCTTACAATAGTTCTAAGAAAGTTTTGGCCTAAACTGTATTTTTTAAAATCCATTCATGGCAACGTGGGTCATACAGAATGGCAAAATAGTACCAAAAGAAATGTTTTATCTTACCATGATCAATATTACGCACAAAAGTTTCAGTTGGTTCAATGGTCATTTTGGATAGAAATAAATAAATATATAAATATAATAGCTGTGTATGCGAGCACTGGTTCCTATTACTGCCACTGTTAGGAAATTTGAGATCATGAGTTTGACTTGATTAAATTGAAATGTTGAAAAATCAGTGAAATTCCCCTTTAACAGTACCAATCACAATGCTGCTGAAAATAATTGCAGTTAGCATTTTTATTTTTATGACAAAATGTAAATCACATGTGATAGTCTGGACCATGCATTCATTGGCATAACTGAATCAGTTCATCAGCTAATGCTAAGCCCTTCATGAGCTGAATAAGTTGTAAATAAGTGTGGAGAACACTAAAGCCAGCAGAGTCATGACCCACCAGGAATGCCTTTTGACCCCATTGATCTACACAGCGTCTCTGACATAATACTGTGCTGATCGTATTGTTCAGTGTCAATGTTGTTCAATCGTATTGTTCTATATCTTAAGTTGCAGGACAAGAGGCTGACCTGTCCAGCCTGTGAGGTCTACAAAGAAGAAAAAGCAGTTACATTCCTCAACACTTTACTTAAAATCTTGCAAAAGATGAATGCAAAGAATAACTGTTCTTTTTAGTCAAAGCTAACCATAATCTGTGCTCCTTATTATAAAGAAACATCTCTAAGAGTGCATTTATAAGCATGTAAATTATGTTCACACAAATGTATATTTTATTTTGTATTTGTCTATGCAAAGTTATATCCTATATTTTATTAGATTAATACAATTTAAATGTGCCTTTGTTTTTTATTAATCTGCTTTGACAGCAAACTACCTCTCATATGGCCACTTTTTAATTATTAATTATTTTCCTTCTTAATGGGTTTTAGGAGGGATAGCATATTGAAATGTTTTAAAAGCAACAAGCAAGGCTGAAATCTATGAGGGTTTCTGTTTGTTTTGTAACTATGTTGACTTTGTGATGTCAACTTTCTGTTCTTATTATAGATTTTTGACCTGTGTCACCTCCATCAGCTTTAAAGACCCAAGGAACCTAAATCTAATTCTTTTTTTTTTTTCCTAATTATTAGGTTAATCTTGTTCTTGCAGGCGAACCGTGCACTAAGTACAACCTTTGAATAATGTTCTGGTGAGCAATAAATGACCGGTATATTTCACCATATTTCTCTCCTCTCAATGTAAACTGGGCAGGTTCAATCTTGGGTAACGCTTCCGTAAGCATTCCCCTTACCAATCACAAGACTGTTGTCTCTTGGCCCGCCCACACAAAACAGTTTTAGTCAAAAACACTTTAGCGAGCTAAAGCACACTAGGAGTGTTGGGCAGAGAGCTGTCAATCACGCTGCTCTTTAGCTTTGCACACAGTTCTCAGATAGGTCTGATCAGTGGTTTTTAAGTCTGTTATATTTATATCTTGTTTTTCATTCAAGCTTTGCTGGATGTTTAATGTAACACTCAAGTTTAGTATCATGACATTTTTAATATTATCCAACCAGTATACAACATACACTTCATGAGAATGTAATTATTGCTTTCAGTAATTCTATAACATTATTTTCATTGTTTGAACATTCCCATGAACCTGAATGTGAAAATCATTTGATTTTCACAGTTACAGTTTCCATTTTTCATCATCAGCATCCAGTGAGAGCAACAGTGGCTGCATGTTCCAGCCAATGATTGCATATATTATGTATATAATATATACAGAAGGTAGTTTCAACTCATCCGTGATTGTAGTCCTTTCATTCTTGTTCTTTTGTTAGTTTGCTGCTATAATATATTAACTGGTCTCCCACAGGAATTTCCCAGTGTAGTCAAAGGTGCTGAAGGTTTTGCTGTAAAAACCATTCAAAAAAGCTATATTTGAACGAGAGAGCTACAATTGCAGATTCTATCATAGCAACATACACTGCATGCTTCAGTCTGCACTACAGATGGGTCTACTACTGCACTATTACTGGTTCGAAAGGATCAAACAAGGAAAATGCATTAATGCCTTAATGCCTTAATAAAAAATGATGCCATTAATCATTCATTACAAGCTTATCAAGCAATAACTTCAGGCTGCTGTTTTGCCTTTTTGTGTCTACTGCTTTCTTTCTGCATTCCTTCAGTATACTTACAGTTTATTAGCCCCTACTACTTTTTGAGATAATATGTTTGTTGTGTCAACTATTCTAACAAAGCTAGCATGGGCAAAAAAAAAATCCTAGCCGTATTTTGCTCATCTATATTATGGGTGAGGGTGTTTCTGGAGAGCTCTGTATGCACTTCTAGGCCATGCACATTAGATAAAGTGTTATAACTGTATTGATTAACACTGTCATTTGTTATCGAGTCATTTGTTGCAGCTTGACCTATTGATATACTGCTGTAAATAGTGAAATAATCATATTTGTACAAAATAAAGCTCTCTGATGAAAAAAAAATATGTTTTGTTGTTTTTACGTTGTCTGTATATAAAATAAAACTCTTGCAATATTTTCTCTTTTTTTCCACTGTGTGCTTGTTTACTTTTTATAGGCCTGAAAGTCCTGGCCTCCTGTTCAATTTGTTACATTTCGAAACACGAAAGGTGACATTCTGTTTGTTAGATTTGATCTTCTTCCTTCCTGTAGAACCAGTTTCACAGTTTGGGAATTTAAAGAAATGAAATGAAGAGAAAACAAAAACGAAAGCCAGGGCTTCCAGGGTTCACGTACTTAAAGCCACATAATCCATTAGTCTAAATAAATGTAATATCTAGACATAACTAACTAGTTATTACTAGTTATTAGTTATTATTACTAGTTCATTGCTTAGTTTTATCTATTGTTCATGTTTGGAATTTGTCGAGGACATGAAAAAAAGCTCAGCAAAACTGAACATGTGGTAAAAGATAAGATGCATTATGGTGGTGTATAATTTTGAAACATTAATTAGTATGGTAGCATGCACCATATACTACAACCCTGTTTCCAAAAAAGTTGGGATGCTGTGCAAAATGTAAATAAAAACAGAATGCAATTATGTACAAATCATTCAATCTTATAGGGAATTGAAAATAGTACAAAGACTGCAAGAAACTTTATTGTTTGTTGAAAAATAAATGTCCATTTTGAATAAGATCCTAGCAACACATTTAAAATAAAAGCGGCATGTTTATCACTGTGTTGCGTCACCTGTTCTTTTACAGCACTCTGTAAGTGTTTGGGAACAGAGAAGGCCAACTGCTGTGGTTTTAAAAGTGAAATGTTTTGATGCTGTTTCAACAGTTCAGGGTCTCCTTTGTCATATATTTTGCTTCATAATTGGCAAATGTTCTCAGCGGGTGACAGGCCTGGACTGCAGGCAGGCACGCACACTTTTTTACTACGGAGCCATGCTGTTGTAATACATGCTGAGTGTTTGTCATTGTCTTGTTAAAATAAGAAAGGCCTACATCTGGATGGCAGCGTATGTTGCTCCAAAACCTGGGAATATCATTTAGCATTAATGGTGCCGCCATAGATGTGCAAGTCACCCTTGCCATGCGTAATAATGCTTCTCCATACCATCACAGACGCTGGCTTTTAAGCTGTGTGCTGATTACAAGTGGGATGGTACCTTTCTTCACTGGGGCAGTTCCCCTCTTGTCACTGGGGTGGTACCCTCAAGGGTACATCTCAGTACCTTTAGTCAGGGAACATAATTGTACCATAATCATCGAAATTAGATTTTCTATGTTATATTGATTTCACACACTCCGTCTCGTCTCCAGGTTCTAAAACATCAGGTTATTAAAAAAAACATACAAAAATGTACTTTTCACCAGGGCAAAACTTTTTTAAGATACAGAATTGGACCCTAAAACCACTGTTTGAAGGTATATTAACATTGTTGGTACCTTGATGAACGAAATATGTACCTGTACAGTGCCTTTATTTCTTTTGTTGCTAGATCCTGTTTATGTATGGTTTCTTCTTCACATGGTATAGTTTGAACTCGCAGTTGTGGAGGCAGTGACGAGCTGTGTTCACAGACAGTGGTTTTTGGAAGTGTTCCTGAGTTCATGCAGTGATTTCCACAACAGAATTCTGTGTTCAGTGTCTGTTTTTAATGCACTGCTGTCTGGGGGCCTGAAGATCAAGGTCAGCCAGCTAATATTGGTTTTTGGCCCTGTCCCTTGCATACAGTGATTTCTTTCAGTCTTTTTGTTATTATGTATCGTAGATGATGAAAAGCAAAAGTCCTTTGCTATTTTATGTTGACAAATGTTATTCTTGAGTTGTTGCACTATTTGCCTGCACAGTCTGAGTGGTGAACTCCTCCTCATCTTTACTTCTGAAAGACTCAGCCACTATGAGATGCTCTGTTTATACCCAATCATGTTACTGACCTGTTGCCTATTAACCTAATTAGTTCCAAGATTGTAAAGTCTCAGAACTTAATGAACTTTACATATTAGGACTAGTTAGACTTAGCATAAAAATGATTTGACTCTTCAAACCTTGTGCGAACACTCAACAACCATGGGCTCCTCTAAGCAGCTGGCTGAGGATCTAAAAATGAAGCTAATTCATGCATACACAACAGGGGAAGGCTGTAAAAAAGTGCTTCCAGCTTGCAATCCCCATTGTCTGAAAAGTCATGGCAGTTAAAGGGAACTGATGAAGTCAAGGCAAGATCTGGAAGAACAAGAACACTCTCGGATAGAACTGCAGATGTGTCAACTTAATCCTAATAAAAATACTGAGGTGAGTGATGGAAAACTTGTAGAATTCAATTAAAACCCACCCTGTGATCCTGTGCCCTGAAGTCTTAGCTCTCATTATTTAGGCAAGCTTTTTCCATTTATTACCATCATGGTTTAAAAATGTTGCACAGTATCCTATTTTAATTATTTATTTATTTGCTCAGGCAGCTGATACTGATATTCATCCTTGAGCTTAACAATAATCTCAACCAGAAATCTTTGCATGTATATTCATTTGTCCCGAATGGTGTGCTGTGTTGTAGTGTGCAGCTTGCTTTACACCCATGCGTCCTGCAACACAATGATTTTTACAGCATGCCCACCAACCACTGCTCCCCTAGATGCTGCATTCAGGGGAATTTTCTATTGCGTATATACGCTATTTAGATGCTGGCTGATTTTGCTCAGCATCTGTTTTGTTAGGCTGTTTTAAATATCAGCAAGCAAATCAGGTGTTTAATCTGGTGATTACGGTAAGGTAGTTGTATTGGTCAACATCTAGATTAGCAAGAAACATTTTAGAAACATGAGCTGTGGATAGATGTAGTAAAAGTGTTTGGCCACCATCACCAAAGCTGCATTTGGAGAAATAGGGAGCATGGAAAGAACAACTGTTGCCAGCTATTAAGGATGTGGGTGGATCTATTATGCATTAGGATTTTGTTGCAGCCAGTAGTGCAGGAAACATTGTATGGGTAGATGAAGAATGGATTCCATGAAATAGTTCGGGAAGCAAATGTGAAACAGTCAGGAAACTGCAGCTGACAAGAGTCTGGCTTCTACAAGAGAACAATGATCCATAACTGAACTAAATCCACTGTGACCTTCTTTTAGAAAGGCTCTCACAGTCTGATCACTTGAACATCTTAAACACAGCTGAAGAATATTGCAGAACCAGAGTGAGTAAAATTCCTAAAACAAAAAAGGAAAGACTCCAACAAAAGCTGGACAGCAAAAAAAGTGTTTTCATGCAGTGGTATCTGTCATAAGGGCTGTTACTAAATACTTTAGCGAATGTGATATCTGCTGAAGGGGCTGTAACTACATATTTTACTGAAAAGCTTGGGTGTCCAAACTTTTGCACATGCCACAATTACTACTGTATTTTTTTCATTTTTTAAATGAATCAAATATTAAGTAGTTGTGCATTTACATTTGCATTCTTTGCAATAGTTTGCAGTCGAAGCTGTGTTTACTTCTTTTCCCTTCAGAAATTCGACAAAATATGTCATTTGGCCAGAGGTGCCCAACATTACTACTACTACTGCTATTATACTATATTATACTAATGAATGTATTACTAATAGTGGTGCTATTTTGACATGGTGGTGTTTGGTGTAGTGATACATACCACGTACTTTACTTGAGGTGCATAACATAATACATATACCTTTGGTACACCGTGATGTTTTTCATGATAACACATGGTCTTTGTGTTCCATTGCTTTTGTGCAATCGTTCTGCAAAATAAAGAAAAAAGTCAGTCAAAGAAGCCCTGAACATTGTATTAAATGTGCTTTCATATTAGCAATTTCTTTTAACATGAAAGTACAAGCCTTTTACATTACTCAATATTTCCTGGATTAATCCAAATGTTTTGTTCCTGCTAGTCTGTAAAGCACTTCGCAGCCCAGTGACTGTGACTGTGTATTCTGTTTGTTTCTGGGTAATTCCAATTTGTTTAGTTTGCTAAAGCTTTTATGGGCAACAGCTTCAGAATTTGACGTAGACCTGCTGTCATGCTCCTTTTCAGAATTTGGCAGCAGGTCAAATATTATCTCATAGAAGTTACCAAATAAAGTTATTTAATGCATCATTGTATCTGTTTTTGCTTGTGCTAAAGAACAAACTTGGGCTCCTTCCAAACCCACCACATAGTGCTATGCTATACCTACCAACACAATGAATGCACTATTAATGATGGTGTACAATTTTGACATACTATTTAGTATTCTAAACTGTACCATACACTATACAGTCCTAAATAATGCTATAGTATACAATACTATATTATACAAAAAATGCAATATTGTACTATACTCCACCATACAATACAATACTATACAATGCTATACTATGCTATACTATACTACACTATACAATATGATACAATAACAATATAATACTATACAATAGTACACAATACAATACAATGCTATACAGTACTATATTATTCTATACTACACTAATGAATTTAGCTACTACCAGTGTTGTTCAAATGTTTGGTGAACGTTGTGATCTACACCAGTGTATTGAGTGGAAGGTCGCAGTGCTGCTCCAGTACAGATGGCTGCGCTGTTCTGTTCAGCTTCAGCTTCAGCTTCAGCTCTGCGGTGCGGACCGGAAAAGTGATCAGAAAACGGAGCCCCGCTTCTTAAACCTGACCGGAGAAAAGCCAAATAAGAATTCACTGCTTGAAAACGGATTTGGCTGGGCGTATTGACAACCTTTGTTTGCCTTCAAAGGCTTTTCTATAAAACGGTAAGTATAAAGGTTTTCAGCTGCTGCGCTCGTGTTTTAAATTGGGTTCTACGTTGCTCCATGGCCAGGGTGCTAGATACCTGAACCAGCTGACGTTAGCTAGCTTAGCCCATTCCCTCGTCGACTGTCTTAATTCAGTATCTTAGAAAAAATGTTAGGGACTTTCCAGCATGTAGCTTAGTTTGACATCTGACTGGTTGTAAACAAGAGCTGGAGAAAAAACAGTGACCGTATATGATTGCGGTTGGCTAACTTAGCTTAGCTTAGCTTAGCTGCCCCACTGTAGCTAGAAATGATGCTGGCTAAGATAGCTAGCTGGCTAACCTAGCGTTAGCTACCTAAGATGGCTGTAACGTTAGCATCTCCATTTTCACCAGGTTCCCTGTTAGTTAACGCTAACTGTCTGGCGTTAACCGACTTTAGGTATGGAGTGGTCGAGCTACAACTTAAGGGAACATGCTTAGCTAATTTGCTTAATTTTGATTTCATCTTGCCAGATTTAAAACGCGTGCTGTGGTTGGCTGAGTGCTAACCTCAAGCTAATCTAGCTAACGCTAACAACATTGATAACATTAACACCGACGTCGGCTTTGGCACCCTGTTGTGCATAAGCCATAGATCAGTGGAATAAACCTCCTGTGTGAGTGATCTCTGCCTGTTAAACCTGAAGGAAACATGTTAGTTAACTCTGAAACCTTACCTGTTTGGTCAGCATGCCGGCTTCAGTTAGGACTGAATCTATTAGCACAGTAGCTAATATAGAACGACAGTTTCTACGTTCATTGTCTTATCCTAACTCCAGCTATGAAAACAGTTTTACAGGAACATCATAACTAGACAACATTTCTTAAATAATGTCCTAACTGTAGGACAACCCCGATGATGTCCAAACGTCTGTTTTAACCGTCCGTTTCTATCGTTTTTAGGCATCTGTGACAGGCAGCACAGTTCTAGTATAATGACGTTACATTAAGTCCCCTTGGATTTATAAGGTTGTGTCTGCGTTTTGAGCAGTTTTGAGATATTAAACTTCAAAGATTTTGCATTCCAAATAGCAAAACTGATATGTGGAACAGGACTCTCTCACACCTGAAAATCACAGACACCCTAAATTTATTCTAAATGTAAAATATCAAAATCCTATCAGATTTGTAAATGAGTTGTTTTTGGAACAGGTCAAATGCAGGTAGGACCCTCTGATCCTAAGAAATCACTTTCTGCTTGGAATTCTAAGGTTCTGTCTGGTAAAACATAAAAAGAAGCAATGATTTTAAAGGGGCACAAACAGTTTATCGTAATTTGTTTTAAAACATAAAATTGGTGTTCTAGCACAGTGTCTGCATGTGTTAGAAAGTTGTATATAACGTAATGCAAATTTGTGAAAAATCTTATTTTGACCTGTTAGATCTTCAATTATGACAAAAATATGAGGTTTCTGTAATACAGTGAATGTATTTGAACTTGTTTTGCAGGTGAAGTGGAGAGATGTCTGACAGTGAAGACAGCGACTTTTCAGACAACCAGAGTGAGCGGAGCAGTGAGGCTGAGGAAGCCGAGGAGAATGAGGTGATGTTTCTGCTGTGACTGAAATTATATTCATAACATTTACATGAATGTTGCACTAAATCTGTTGACTCTATTTGTTCAGCATCAGTTTTGGGTCAGTTACTCAAAAAAAAAAATACATTGCAAATTACTAACGACTTATCTCAACCTGTAGTGGTATTGCTTATTATGTCCTAGAAGAGTGATCTCACTACTCATTGCTTCTGTGATACTCCCTAAAACCTATACACATCTGCATGGACTGGAACAAGTAATACAAGGGGGGCATTTTCAGTTATTTATTTTGAAAGAAGTTCCCAGTCAGGGTAACGGTATTCCAAAGGCATGTCCCTGTTCCTGCCTCTGAGTGAACTAACAAGGTAAAAAAGGCAGTCAACTTTGTTATTCCTTCTCACCGCAAATGCATTAAATGAGGATCAAGGTATAGTTATTACAGGATACAGAGCTACATTTAACACAGAACAACAGCAGACAGAAGTACAAAAGATAAAAGTAATGTAATATAATAAATACAGACAATAAACTATATAAATGCTATACAACAAAACCTTTTGTAAAGTATGCAGTTGTATAAAGTAGCTCATGCCCATTAAGCACAGGGAAGTAGAGTACAGTGGGCAGTTTTTGTACACGTGAGCAACTTTGATTTCAAGACAACTTTAATGTGTTACACTTCTTTAATGTCGTTCCTGTGAATAATGTCCATGGGCATGCATAAACTTTCTTTTTTGTTGAAATAAAATAAATAAAAGATAAGAGCACAAAATACAAAATATAATTTTATTGCAGTTGTTATTATGCATTCTGCTGCTTTATAAAATAGGGGAGGTTGGGTACTATAATGGATGATGTAAGGCAGTGATCTCCAACCCTAATCCTGCAGATCTACCTTCATGAAGAGCCAATTTCCAACCACAGTCTGCCACATCTGCTCCAGCTAATTAGCCTCCTCCCAAGTTCCTGGTTTATTGGATCAGATGTATTAGCGTCAAGTAAGGGGTGGAGCAGCTTATTGGTTACAGGTTGGAACCAAACTCTGCAGGAAAGTCGTTCTCCAGGACCAGGGTTGGAGACCCACTGCTTTAATGCCTTTTGGGAGGATTCTGTTTAACTGCTTTGTGCACTTAAACAAAAATATATTTTTTCTAGGAGGAAGAAGGGCAAGGAAGTGTAGCTGGCAGTGATAAAGCAGAAGAAGAAGAAGGAGAAGACTTGGAGGAGGATGAGGAGGAGTATGATGAAGAGGAAGAAGAGGATGACGACCGTCCTAGAAAGAAACCTCGACATGGAGGCTTCATCTTGGATGAAGCTGGTAACTCCACAAACTCTAGCAAAATGGGTCCAGCACTTTTCATCAAATTGCTAATTAATACTTTTGTTTCTGTTTCTTGGCTAGATGTGGATGATGAATATGAAGATGAGGATCAGTGGGAGGAAGGAGCAGAGGATATTTTGGAAAAAGGTGAGCATTTGAAATAGTGTCTAAAGTGTTTTCAATTACATGTTACTTTTAGACATGGTAGTTCTAGATGTACTGCTATTGTTCAGGTGGTTTGTGGTAAATCCTGGGATGTTAAAGTGCAGTTCGGTGTTAAGATATATTTTCCATAGATATAGGTATTCGTTTTTGCCTTACTGAATGGATTAAATGATGTTATGTATAGACATGAAACATAGAAACAACATGACATTTATAGTTGCTATAACTACAGTAAATTAAATCAGAAGTTTATATTTAGCATGACTTAACTGATACTAGGTGTTTTCCCCATTGTGTTCCTTGTACTCATAATTCTTTGTCTCTTGTGCATGCCTTCTTCAGTTAACGGTAAACCAACTCCAGATTTCTCTGATCCTTCTGTTTTTCTTGTCTAATTGGCTTAATCCTCATCATTTTCTCACATTTGATAAAATCCATGCCCATACTATGCAACCTGTATAACACTTGTCTGCAGTGTTGTAATGTGGTTTTGGTAATGTTTAATTTGCACACGTTCTAATCAAGGAGCATGGATGGCAAATACATGTTTTGGCTTTTCTCTTCGGTTATGGAAGTAACTAATTTAATGACTGTAATGAATACCTGTATGAATATTTAGGCTTGTAAAGTTCTTGGTAAGTCCTCGAGGGAAACCAATTGTGACCGTTTGCCTGAAATTGCTCCTTTAGGGACACAAACGTAGTGAAGTCTTTCATGGACAGAATGAATTCACATGCTTATTGTAATGCATCTGCTAACAATAACATGACATTAGCATCTCATAGTTTCCATCTCTGAAGTACATACCACCTAGTGCCTGCTCATTACTGATGATTTCCCTTTTTCCTTTTCTTTTTTAAAAAAATGTTTCTCTGTTCCCTTGCCTGCAATTGCTGTGTGCACATGAAATTGTATTATGGCTCATGTTCCTCCCTCTCCAAATCTACAATCGACTTGAACAGAGGAGGCTGAAGGTACGTGCTTGACTCCTTGGATATACTTACTGCCTGTTAGTCTTTAGCAGCTGTTTGTTCCTCAGAGCATAAGAGGAGAAGCTTAGTACTTTAAAGAGGAATTCCACCATTTTTTTTCCAGTTTCTGCATAATTTAACCTTTAAGATGTAAACAGTTATTCAGAGTAAAATACTGTAGAGAAACTACAGTTTTTATTTGTAATATTAAGTGATAAAATAGTGGTACATCTGAAAAACTACATTTTCTTTTGGCCCTATTTTGCCTTACTGTACCCTCCACTGTACCCCTCCATTATGAACCGACAGGGCTCCAGACTAACTCTGTTCCATCATTCTGGGGACAGTAAAACAAATGGCATACAGACAGAGTTGGCTAAAATATTTTGAAAAAAGCAGGGATGGCTGAATACTGAACGCAGTGTCCTAAACATATTCAGTAACATTAAAAAGTAACAAATTCAGAATACATTAAGAATACAATTGGATACATATTAATAAGGCATATAAGAGAAACTCTGCGGTCTTATTTTTATTGAATTCACACAGAATTACTCACTGTTAATGGTTGGCTGTTTTCTTGATGTAATTCTTCTGTTAATATACTTCATGAAAAATTCACTTATTTAAATAAAGTTACATAATTTTGGCTGCTTCAGTCCACCGTTACTCCCATAATCCCAGTACTGCTCTCATAATCCTATTGCTGTCTTATGAAGTAAGCAAAAATCGCAATAACAAAATCCTGCAAATTTGGCTATAAAGTTGGTAGCTATGTAGTTTTCAGTTAATGACATGTATGTAACACAAAATGCATGTATGAGTTCAGTACAATACCAGTGCTAAGCTTATCATTGTATCATCAAATTTATCAGTCTACTCAGCAACTTGTATTTCTGTGAAAAAAAGGCATTTTCAGTCCTTCTCAGAAGTATGGATTTACACATCGTGTGCTAATATTTAAAAAAGGACATCCAAAAAGTTAATAAACAAGCATTGATGGTGTTCCTTCCAATTTAGTGACTAAGTATTCTAAGAGTATTATCCTAAAAATAAGAGGTAACTGTATTCTGAATGCTGCCTTCACAAAATGTAACTTGGACTGAACACAGATACTGTACATCACAGATATTTTGAATGTGTCTGAATGCTTGTAGTCCATTACATCCTAACCCTGCATACGGAACAATGGTTAAACTGTTTTAGGATGCTCCAGAGATAATTACTTGTGCCAGCTGTGTCTTGCCCTCCTTAAATATAGCAATGTTTAATCCAGAGACTGTTTTTAAATTTCTTTGTAAGTGGCTTTTTCTCATCAAATGTCTACCGCTTGCGCAATACTAAATTCCTTTAACCCATCAGTGGGAATTCCTGTGCAAGATTAGCAGTAATCTAATGATTGTATCTGTTCATATTTTTAACATGCACAACCTTAAACGGACAATAAAAGCTTGAAATAGACATTTAAGTAACATTTTTTTCCATTGTGTGTTTTACAGTCCCTGGTCAACGTAGTACAATTCACATATTCGTAGTTGTTTTTTGTGTACAACAGTGTCTCAGCACCCAAGCATTTAATCCTTTCAGACCCAAATTATGTTCCACGGCACAAAAATATGATCTTGCTCTATTCTTAATAAAGGCAACTGTAAATGGGTATAAATGTTAGGAATTGTTTAACTCCTTCTTTCTAGCTATTTCTGATGCCCATTGTCAATGCACGCTGGTTCTGAAGAGCAGCAGCATTCCAGCATGAATAGTGATCATTTTATTTGTTTAAAGTTATTACAAGAAATCCTGAATTCAAACACAGTCTGAATTTACAGTATTTGCAGGTCATTACAAGAAATAAAGTGATGCTTTAAAACATTACATATTTTGTTACAGAGCTTTTGGTACTCTCATATGTGCACATAAATGTATTTACGAACCACAGATGTGTGTGATTGTATATGTTTGTATGCATGTGTGCTATCTGGCATTTGTCAACATTTTAGGAATCCATTGTCAGTTTTCACTTTTTCTTTTCTTTTTTGAGAATTTCTTTAAAGCTAGTCTGGAGCATTTTACATCAGACAACTCTTAATGGCTTTGTTTTACATCTTAACAATTTAATTATGCAGAAACTTGGTGAAAAATTGGTGGAATTCCTCTTTAACCAAAAAAGAGAATTATCTGTGGCATGTTAAAATTAAATGTTAAAAGTTTGTGACAGTGATGCTGACATAATGTTAATTAGGGGTGCACTAATGATGAATTTTTTAGGGCAGACTTTGCCATTTTAAAAGATATGTTTACACCTGGGCATTTCACGTGTCTTGAGTATCAGGAATATTTCCAGATAAAGATTTTTCACAAAAAAATGCAGGTGTAAATGCCACCCCCCCCCCCAATAAAATGCATGATTTAAATCCAATCAGGAGGTGATTTTGGGAGCATTTTAGCCAGACGTTACACAAGTGTAAATACCTCACGTGTGTATTTACACTCAGGGGATGGGGTGAACAACTGTCTTCTTTAAGCATTGTTGTAAAGCGGATGTAGGAAAATGTGTAAAGCCATGCACAATTGTGATTTTCGAAGAACCAATGATCTTTCGAGTAGAACACACGAAACAGCGAACAACACCGCAAATTGGTTGGTGCATATGAGCTGATTTGCGTATTAGGCACCGTACAGCAACTGGATTTCAATTCCACTAACTGGAGTTTCATTTGATTACCAAATGCAGATGAATCTTTTACTTTTACTTGCCAGTTTTGTTTTAAAGAAACAAGCAAGGATATAATAGCATTGTTTACTCTTTACTCGTAGCTTGCACTTTGCAGGCAATGAATGCACTAAAATGAAGCGTATAAATTAATGGGTAGGTCTAACACTAGCACAGACATGCACTCACAGCATTCAAACACGTTACAAATATGCTTGGCTAGTCGTGTTGTTTGTGTCAAAATCGTAACACAGGGTTGCCAAAATAAAATTAAATCTGCCAATTGCCAATCATGTGTTACTGCTCAATAACAGCCAGTTGTGATCATTTACCTCCTTACAGTTGATCAAATTGTTGTCTGTTCAACATTGAAAAATATAGAATGAGACAACATAAAAAGGTTGCTAGAAATACTCATAACGTGCATGTGTGGCAGGATCACCCTCTTATTATTAACTGTCTCTCATATCTCCTCACTGAGTGTCTTTTTCCAATACGCAGTTTCCAACATTGATCATGTAGCTTTGGATGAGGATCACTCTGGCTCCCGTAGACTGCAGAATCTGTGGAGGTATGAGGCCACAAACGCACTTTTTTTTTGACCTCAGTTGTAAGGACAATCTGTTGCACTTGTCAGCTAAAATAACATGGGGCTTCCCCTCCCTTTGCAGAGATTCCAGAGAGGAAGCCCTGGGAGAGTACTACATGAGGAAATATGCCAAGTCCTCAGGGGGAGAACAGTAAGTACTCTGGTTGTCTTTTATTTACACAGAAGCTAAACTACCCTGTTGCATAAATGGTGCTCATTGATTCCTCTGGCCTCCACCTTAGATGGCAATTTCTGCAAGTGTAAAAAAATAAAATAACTGTGCAGTGTCACATCAAACTCTAAACTTTCACATGTTCCTAAGCCTTAGCTTTTTCTTATGGAGTAAGTCTCAAAGGAGGCATTTCTCAGATTTCTTAGAATTTTGTTTTTGTTTGCATAATAAAATAATTCAGAACAAGAAGTGTATAAAAACAGGTGGCGGAATGTGTATAATGCAAAAATTGCCATTTTATCTTTATGATCCAAAACCATCAGTGAAGCTACAAATGCTTCTGAGTTTTTATATGTAATGTTGATAACGGTAAAAACTTGGTCAGTTCTATAAAAAAAGTTTTCTGTGGGTGCTACAACCCTTACAGCGTCCTGCATGTACTTCTATGCTGTGAATGGATTAAAAAAATACTTTGCAGGCCAAAAGCTTAGCTTGTTACTATCGTAAAACAAAGTCTTAAGCATCAGGCATTCTGTTTGCAACCATTTCGCGTAAAACCTCTCGTGAGGCATCTTTTGGAGGCATTAAACGCTTCAGACTTCTGGTTCCTATCACAACTGTTGTGAAACCGTTGCCGTTCTATATAATGTTTCACATCAAACTACTCTGAATGACTTTATTTTCATCTTAAAGACAGAAATATGCAGAGATATTGCAAAATTGGTGAAATTTCTTTTTAACAATATAGGCTTAATTTTTGGGAAGCTTTCTTCATTTAAGCAAACTGGCTGAAAAACATCAAAATAATAAGATAATCTATAAATATAATTGTTACTGTTTCTTTTCACATGATTCACTGTACATTTGTAATTTTTTTTTCTAGTTTCTATGGTGGATCAGAGGATCTCTCTGATGACATTACTCAGCAGCAGTTGCTCCCTGGTGTCAAGTAGGTTCATCCAGTTTTTAATCTCCATTAAACTGAATAAAGTGATGAATTCATATATAAAATGCATATATAAAATGCATTTTTTCAGGGATCCAAACTTGTGGACTGTCAAATGTAAGGTAAGCAGCGTGCCAGAATATCTAGGTAATGAATATGTAGTATGTAATTGCACTGCATGTGTCATTTATGCTGGTGTTTCTTTGTAGATTGGTGAGGAGAGGGCAACTGCCATTTCACTGATGAGGAAATTTATTGCTTATCAGTGCACGGATACGGTAAGCTACTAAATGTTTAGCCTAACTGAACATTTGCTTTAAAAAGTTGTATAATGATAATGTTAAGCCAGTTGCAGTTACTCAATAAAAAACCTTTCATACTTCTGCTCTGATTTCTGTCCCCTTTCTGCCTCCACACAGCCACTTCAAATCAAATCAGTGGTGGCTCCTGAACATGTGAAGGGTTATATCTACATTGAAGCATATAAACAGACTCATGTCAAGTCTGCTATTGAAGGAGTTGGCAACCTGCGAATGGGCTACTGGAACCAGCAAATGGTGCCTATTAAGGAGATGACTGATGTCCTCAAAGTGGTCAAAGAAGTGACTAATCTTAAACCAAAATCCTGGGTCCGCCTTAAGAGAGGCCTGTACAAAGATGATATTGCCCAGGTGGGTTGTTTGAGTGTTCTAGTCAGAACATGAACAAGAAAAATGTTTTTAATCTAGGTCAGACAATACGTAGGAGCTGTACACCAGCACCTGTGAATTTTCACTTTGTTTATGCTATTGTTTGCATGTTTAATTAATCATTAGTCATTCCAAAATGCTGTTCGTCTGTGGAGTTTAAGGTGATTATATTCATACTGTTTCGTCGTTTTAGGTTGATTATGTTGAACCAAGCCAAAATACGATATCACTGAAAATGATTCCACGAATTGATCTGGACCGAATCAAAGCGAGGATGAGCATGGTAAGAAGTAAACTGTATTTCTTTGTTTTGTCCTAGCAACTTGTTCGTTAATTAAAAGACTTTGCTGATCTTAAGAATTCCTTGCATTAACTCACAGAAAGACTGGTTTGCTAAGAGAAAGAAGTTCAAGAGACCTCCTCAGAGACTGTTTGATGCTGAGAAGATCAGGTAAGAGAACATGCGGCATCTCTCCCTGTGTGGGTTGGTTTGTTCATTCATTCATTCATACATTCATTTATTTGAGGTGTGCATCATGTCTGATTTGCTCTCTGCCATGTGCGTACAACTGAATGTCATTCTAGGTCTCTTGGCGGGGAAGTTAGCCACGATGGCGATTTCATGATATTTGAAGGCAACCGCTACAGCCGCAAAGGCTTCTTGTTCAAAAGCTTTGCCATGTCTGCTGTGGTAAGTCATATTACTCCTGCATGGGATTGTCTAGTTGTTTTATTCGTAATGCACTAAAATATATATGTGGTGCTTATGTGTGTGTGTGTGTGTGTGTATGTATATATATATATATATATATATATGTATGTATGTATGTATATATATATATATATATATATATATATACACACACACACACTATCTAATTGGAACTGTTTATCTGCTTGTGTTAGATTTTGTCATTTTATTTTAGTCTTACTTAATATTATGAGTGTGTAAGTGTGAGTGTATATCTTCATCTGTGACCCAATAGCACACATCTGATGATTTCATATAGGTATTTTTTGCATTAATGTTGTCTTCTGCCTGTTTTGTAGATCACAGATGGGGTTAAACCAACTCTCTCAGAGCTAGAGAAGTTTGAAGATCAACCTGAAGGCATTGATCTAGAAGTGGTCACTGAAACAACAGGTCTGAGAGTTACTTAAGTTTGTGAGAGAGAGAGCGCTATTAAGAGAGAAATTATACAAAGTTTGTGACTAAAAATGAAAGTCTTTTTCACTAGGTAAGGAGCGAGAGCACAACCTCCAAGCAGGAGACAATGTGGAAGTGTGCGAAGGCGAGTTAATCAATCTTCAAGGGAAAATTCTGAGCGTGGATGGTAACAAGATTACGATCATGCCCAAACATGAGGACCTAAAGGTGCATAGTATTACGTTACTGTATGTTATTCCGGATTTATGATCAACGCTTGCCTGTTGAATCTTGTTTTCTCTCACGTTCAGCTTTTGGTCAAACATGAGTCAGTGTGAAAATACCGTTAAAATCTAAGCTGGTTATCCTTGTATTTCAGAGTGCTTTCCATAGAGAGCAGCTGATGCAACTACTCAATAGCTAAATGTTTTAACATGGTCAGTTCCCAGCTCTATACTGTATAGTACTGTGTGTTTCCCTGGCTTCATAGGTTTCCCTCTTTCTGTCCTTAGGATCCACTGGAGTTTCCAGCACATGAATTGAGGAAATACTTCCGTATGGGTGACCATGTGAAAGTTATTGCTGGTCGTTATGAGGGTGACACAGGCCTTATCGTGCGTGTGGAAGAGAACTTTGTCATTCTCTTCTCTGACCTCACCATGCATGAGGTGAGCTGCTTCACCACACTTTCTCTTTTAGTGTCACCTTACTGTCTAGGATTCAGTTTTCCATTGGAAAACACTGGACACTATTTCCCAAAGATGGTGTAATGCTCTTGTTAAGATCAGAGACTTTTGTCAAAGTAATGCTGCGTTCACATTGATTGTGGACAAAGACAGCAAATCTGATGTTTGTGTTTCTCAATGGAGCAATGACAACACATCTGGACAGAGGCAAAGGCAGCGCGTCTTAAAGGCCAGCAGAGTGTTCCATCAAGGTCTTAATTCTCCCACCTTTTGTCTGTCATTAGTGGTGGGATCCCTAGGTACCCAACAGTTTGATTTGATTTCAGGATGCCAAGCTGCAATTACAAAATGATTTTCGATGCATCTCCGTTTTTGCTTTTCTATATTCATTTTACAACTCAACTGAACCATCAGGACACTTAAGCTGAAAATGCAGCGAAGTTTTTTCAGATGGTATTTCACACACTGGGTAACCCCCAGCATATTTTTAAAAATATTTTTTGCTATAGCTTTACAGTAAATAATTCAGTAAAGACCAGTTAGCAGTCTCCTGTGCTTGCTTGTTAAACAAAGCAGTGTTTCTATGTAGGGTATGTATAAATGGGTGTCATACTTTTTTTGCTTTATATGCATATAATTTGCAACCATTGTGTTGCTGCAAACATGCATGCAGTACAGATCCTGTTTTTTTGTTCTTCCTCTAAGCTTGGCTGTGCTGCATTGGCGTATCCCACTTTATAAAGTCTCTAGCTGTGCGTGAGATTATTTAACAGGGGTAACACAGAGCCTACATAAAAATCTGATTGTATTGCTTTGTGAATCAATTCAGGACTGTAAGAAAATCAAGATGCATCTACGAATTGTTTGTTTATCCCAGCCCTGCCTGCCATAGTGGTGGAATAAACAGGATGTTCATTTTTCGTTAAACACTGACACCAACTAGCACATAGTTTGAGCACATCTGGCCTTCTGCTACAAACATTTTAAAGGCCACATGAAAGTAATTTCCATCTCTCAATAAATAATGAGACTATCGCAGCTAACATTTGCTCATCCATTTTTGGTAGAAATTACGTCATGTCAGCATTGAAATTAGTCACATACCGTTCCCGTTTACATCACTTCTGCAGTGGGGTGTGGTTTGTTTTGACGCCATGTGAATGCAGCATTACACTAGTGCTCTAATGCTAGCATCTTACGATGAATTGTGTTGTGCTGTGCTGTGTATTGTGGGTTAAATAACTGATTGCATATTGATCACGTGTGTTTCAGCTGAAAGTCTTGCCTAGGGACTTGCAGTTGTGCTCAGAGACAGCTTCTGGGGTGGATGCAGGAGGCCAACATGAGTGGGGGGAACTGGTTCAGTTGGACCCCCAGACTGTGGGTGTCATTGTCCGGCTAGAGAGAGAGACCTTCCAGGTAGAGTCTTTTCAAGCATATCAGTTCCCTGTGGATCCCATCTAACTGGTCATTTATTATCTGACAGATTTAATTGTTTCACTTGTTTTGCTAATGCGAAGTGAATGTGTAATGGAGTGTTTAGTGGTTTAAGTTGTTAATCATGTGATCTGTGTGGTGTGTAATGGGCATTCATTGATCCCAGGTGCTCAATATGCATGGCAAAGTGTTAACTGTGCGACATCAGGCAGTGAATAGACGGAAGGACAACCGCTTCGCTGTTGCTCTGGACTCAGAGCAGAACAACATTCATGTAAAGGACATTGTTAAAGTCATAGATGGACCACATTCGGTGAGCAACTCTGTAACCATTGCTGACAGAAAATATCAGATCTGTGATCTGTAGCAACACTTGTCTTATTTTATTTTTGTTAAAATACATAACTGACAAATTAATTAGAATGAAGTGTATGTGTTTGTGTGACAGGGCCGTGAGGGGGAGATTCGTCACCTCTTTAGGGGGTTTGCCTTCCTTCATTGTAAAAAGCTGGTTGAAAATGGGGGCATGTTTGTTTGCAAGACTCGCCATCTTGTGCTGGCTGGTGGTTCAAAGGTAAGTGTGTCGACAACATTACAGAATGTGTTCTCCATTGAGTGATTTTTGCCAGGAATCTCTGTAATGTTTATCATTTACTAGCACCAAAAGCAAAAGCTTGATTTGATTTACACTACTTAATTGAAAGTGCTTTTAGAAGGAAACATGCAGAAATACTGAAATAAAATAAAGCTTTCTGTACTTTTTCTCTTTTTTGCCTGAATATTAATACAGAAAGTAACACAGAAAACTAAGTATTCTTCCCCCTGTCCTCTCTCAGCCTAGAGATGTGACCAATTTCACTATTGGTGGGTTTGCTCCCATGAGCCCAAGAATTAGCAGTCCAATGCACCCAGGAGGAGGGGGTAAGTGCTACTTCGTTTCTTACCAATTTTCTGCTTATGTTTATTAATGTCTGACACAGAATACACTGAATAAAAGACAAGTAAATTAAAGATCAGTGGACGTTATTCTGTGTAAGTTCCTTTTCTTAATGCTTTACTATATTTGATGTAGATCAGCTAGAATCAGTCTGTTCTCTCTGCCCCTCAAGGTCAGATGCAGAGAGGAGGTGGTGGAGGTGGCATGGGGCGTGGCCGTGGTAGACGAGACAACGACCTGATTGGACAGACAGTGCGCATATCCCAAGGACCATACAAGGGTAAGGGAGATTTTATACATTTGCATAAGTTCATCTAAGAATTTCTTGACCTTAATAGTTGCATAGTTACTGCTGGATATGAACTAAAAGAATATGTTAAGTATATGCATCTGTTTTTCTTTGGTGAGTCTGATCGTTGCCTCTTTTTTAAGGGTATATTGGGGTTGTGAAAGATGCTACAGAATCAACAGCAAGAGTAGAGCTCCACTCAACCTGCCAAACCATTTCTGTGGATCGCCAGCGTCTCACCAGTGTGTACGTCATCACTTTGAAGTCTCACCTCAGAGCCCCATGCAGATAGTGTTTTGTTTGGGTAACACAGAATTAGTGGAAAGCTTACACTGGCAAATTGTCTATAAAAGGATCTACAATAAAAGACACCACTTTACTACAGTTGATCATATTGATCATGTTTTAAAAAGTAGCATTTCTCCTTCTTCTTTATGAATCAGTGGTGCAAAGAGATCTGGAGGAATGACTTCCACTCATGGACGGACTCCAATGTATGGCTCGCAGACACCCATGTATGGGTCTGGTTCCCGTACCCCTATGTATGGCAGCCAGACGCCCCTCCACGATGGTGAGACCCCAAAGCAAAACTGTGTCGGTAAAGCTCTCTTATTGCTACATGTTTGGATGTTTTTTCCACAAATGTCTTTAATTATTTACAGGAAGCCGTACCCCTCATTATGGCTCTCAGACTCCACTGCACGATGGAAGCAGGACACCTGGGCAGAGCGGAGCTTGGGACCCCAACAATCCCAATACACCGTCACGGTATGGGCACAAGTATTCGTCAGATAACCAGCTGTGCGACTAGTAAAATTCTACTCAAAATTCGCAATACATGTCTCATCTGAATCTTAAAATTAATTCATCTAAATAATGGTGTCATTGAATCTTGTAGGATGTGTACTCATCATGGCCAATATCTGACTGACACGCAAATTCAGTGTTTCCCACAGATTTGAAATATATATTTGAATTATATTTTGGTGCTGAGGTGGGGAGCTGGAGACTCTAAAGCATAAATAATTAACAAAGTTTATAGTAATAATTTTTTTTTTCTTTTAAATACAGTGATAGCGCTCAGTTATTGCAAATACACAGAATTTATTGTTTACAAGACTGTGCAGGTATGCCAGTTACATACAAATGTTAACAGGAAGACTTACTTGCAGGCTTTGTTAATGTCTCTTTCTCCTTTGAGTGTGAGTGATGTATTCTGACTGTTTTAGTAAGGTTTAAATGGTTTAAGATGGCTTAATGTGTACAAAGCACTTCTCTGTGAATTTGCACTCATCAGCGTTCCTCAGCTGCAAGTCTGTCCTCCTCCTTACATGCTTCTTGTAAAAATATTTCAGTAATCATCTGTTAAGTAAATACTAGAAGAATCACTTGTGCAACTGCAACTGCCCCCTCCCCCCCAACCTGAGCTGTGTTCACATAGCAGTCTAATTCAAAGCATGTTGTTTGTTGAAAAGTGAATTAATGAAAAAGTGAATTAATGAAATAGTCTGAATGTACTTTGGCGGGTGTCCATACACTCTGATGCGCCACCAAATTATAATTTATGAGTGGGAAACACTGAAATTGACCCGATGTAAAAGTTTTTTTGTGTGAGTTGTAGGGAGCATGTGATCAGCACAATGGTAGTTTAAAAAATAACACACAAGCATGAAAAAAGTAGACATGCATTGTCTGCTTTAAACAAATACAGTGCTGTGAAAAAGTATTTGCCCCTTCCCAATATCTTCCATTTAAACATATGCACATTTATGTCACACTTGAATGTTTCGGATCATCAAACTACTTATATTAGACAGAGATATCCCAAGTAAACACAAAATGCTGTTTTTAAATGATGATTTCATTTACTGAAGAAAAAATGCTGTTCAGCCCCACCTGGCCCTATGTAAAGAATTAATTGTGCCCATAGATACTAAATCAACCTGTTGACTGAATTGAATTGACTATTGGGTTCAATTTCACTAGCTAGACCAAAGTAATGATAACTGTCAGAATTGTTGAATCTAAATCACTCAAATAGAACCTGTCTGGCTATATGAAGCAGGCTAGAAGGTTTATAAAAGCAGCACACAATGCCATATTCTAAAGAGATTCAAATACAGATGCAAAACAAAGTCATTGAAATCTACCAGTCTGGAAAGGCTTACAAAACCACGGGACTCTAGTGAACCACAGTGAGAGCCATTATCCACAAATGGAGAAAATTTGAAACAGTGGCAAAACTTTACAGGAGTGGCTGGCCTACCAAAATTTCACCAAAAGCGCATTGACGACTCATCCAGGAGGTCACAGAAGAGCCCAGACAAACACCTAAAGAACTGCAGGCCTCACTTGCCTCAGTTAAGGTCAAAGGCTCATCTTGCATTTGCCAAAAACATCTAGAAGACCCCCAAGACTTGAGATAATCAAAAAGATGGAACTTGTGGAAGATATGAGTCCCGTTTAGATGCTGTGGCAGGAGCTTAAATGGGCAGTTCATGCTCGAAAATCCTCCAGTGTAGCTGTCCTTTAAAGAAGAGTGGGCCAGAATTCTTCAGCAATGTAAAAGACTCATTGGAAGTTATCACAAATGTTTGCAATTGTTACTTTCTAGGGTGGCACAACCAGTTATTAGGTTTAGAGGACAATTACTTTTTCACACAGGTGATACAGATTTTGAATAAATAATTATCTTCTGTAAATGGAATTATCATTTAAAAGCTGCATTTTGTGTTTTGTCACATTTAAATGTGACAACAACAGAGGAAATTGGGTGAGGTACAAATACTTTTTCCACAGCACTGTAACTCTTGAATAACATACATTTTCTATTCATATCACACGTGTTTTGAAGTAATTGTTTACAAATTTTTATGGCAGTACTCAACCACAACATTACTCATTCACTAATCACTAACAGAAGCTCACATATATCATAACCCAGTTGAATGCAGATCCATTCCTACACATGACTGACCTTTTACTCTTTCATTTATTTATTTATTTGTTATTTTTTGACAGGCCGGATGACGATTATGAGTTTGGGTATGATGATGAACCATCACCGTCCCCTCAAGGCTATGGGGGTACCCCTAATCCTCAAACTCCTGGGTACCCAGAAGTGCCCTCCCCACAGGTCAACCCACAGTACAACCCACAGACCCCTGGAACCCCTGCAATGTGAGGAACTCTTGTGTGCATGATCATGTCAGGTGTAGTGTAAACTGGTTGGATATATTGTGTTTGTGTGTATATATATGTATTAACTTTTGACTTTTTGTGCTCCAGGTACAATACAGATCAGTACTCTCCATATGCAGCACCCTCTCCACAGGGCTCCTACCAGCCCAGTCCCAGCCCTCAGAGTTATCATCAGGTGGCCCCCAGCCCTGTGGGCTACCAGAATACCCACTCACCTGCCAGCTACCACCCCACCCCCTCACCAATGGCATACCAGGTAGTGCTCCTTTTTTTTTTGTTTTGTTTTTTGTTTTGTATTGTAAGGCCACTTAGTAGGAATTCACTGTATCTATATCTGAATCAATGAAGATAATCCATAGTCAATAATTTTTATAATTAGCAATAATTCTTTAATATGCATTCTAAAACAAGTACACACTATAATCCACATAGAAAGTGCACTGTGTGTAAAGCGGCTTTCACACTGAGTGTGGAAAATTCACTGCTGAGCTTTCAAACACATTATTTCCAGTGGGTTGCGCATCGTAGACATGGCCACGACAGATGCACATATACAGTTAAAATGTTGTCAAATTTTGCACAACTTTGAACAAATCTTAGCACAGCCAATCAGAGAGAAGTGCATGTGTTGGGTGGTTCCTATTGCTACCCAAAAGGTTATTTTTTTTTATCAGAGCGCCGCCCACTTTCATGCCCAAAAAGTGAGCGCAGTACATTCCACATTCAGCGTGAAAGTGGCTTAAGACAGGCTAAAAAAAGATTCAGTGGTGTCATAGCTATGCATAAATTGTCAAGTTCTTGTGAACTACATGAACTACATTATTTCGCACTCTTATGCAAAGTTTCTCACAACAGTGTGTGTGTGTGTGTGTGTATATGTATGTATGTGTATATATATATATATATATATATATATATATATATATATATATATATATATATATAATATAAAATACTTATTTGTTGTTGTTATTATTATTATTATTATTATTATTATTATAGTTATATATAAAATTATTAGTGCATATTCCAAAGTATGTGCTTCGAAATCCAGCAACAGAGAAAGGTTAATCACTCAAGGCCAAGCCAATTAAAAATGAGAAAAATAAGAGGTTATAAATAAATGTCAGAACCACAAAGAATTCTGGGTAGCCCCACACCCAGTGCTATAATATTTCTATTAATTAACACTTGCAGGACATGGATTCTGCAGGCTTTGTCGTGAATCGACAGATTTTTCAGCCGCACACTTGCGGATAGAGTTTAAAAATTGTCACTTCACAAGTTAACTAATCAAAAAGAGGGCAGTTAAAACTGAATTGGGGAGCAATCTCGGGCAGTTTTTCTTACATTTTGTGATTTAAAATAATGCTCAGCTTGAAGATTAAAAATATTGATTCTGTAAATTATCTGTAAATTAATTACCTGTAAGTTACCACCACCAAAAACCTTGAGAAATAGATGAGTATCCTTCAGTGGATATTCCTGCTGGCATTCCTGCCCAGAAAGAAAATAACCAGCACTAGTGACTTGCCTGAGCTAAAAACAGGACGTTAAATTATCAGTAATAATTATCAGCTCTAATTTCAATATGGGGCTGATAATTCTAAATAAATTTTTGTCTGCAAATAATATGTATAAGTATAGTATGTACTTGTACACCCCTAGCTGCTAATCTCTGTAGAACCTGCTGCTAATTTATTGGCATCTTTGTTACACGTGTTATACCAGGAAAACGCTTTGTTCATTATGGAATGTAGTTAACGAATTTCATGATTAAATTTGTGACCCTTAGGCCAGTCCGAGCCCCAGCCCAGTAGGTTACAGCCCCATGACTCCTGGGGCCCCGTCTCCAGGGGGCTATAATCCCCATACCCCCGGCTCCAACATTGACCAGACATCTAGTGACTGGGTTACCACAGACATCCTGGTGCGTGTGAAGGACACTTTCCTGGATGGAGGTGTTATTAATCAGACAGGCGTCATCCGCAGTGTGACTGTAAGTAGACCTCGCCTTGCCAAAAAACAGAACTGCTTTCATCTTGTTTGAGTTGTTTGATTGGCATGTTTTCACATTCGCACAAGGGTATCTTTTTTACTACCAGCATTCATAAATTCAGCTATGGATTGATTTTCTCTGACTGACACTTTGAGCTGCAGCTAGATTTGCATATTACCTAAAGTGGCCTTGAGGGCTCTTATGTTGGCACGTTTTTCTGGCATGCTGATTTCAGTTCGTCGTATGAACATGTTCTTACATTCAGCTGTTGAATTTGCATATCTGCTTATGTTGAAACGCATCCAGAAGTCATACAGGACGAACTCCAAGGGGTTTCAGGACATTTACTTTAATGAGCTTTTTAATGGCCTTTAAAGGAGTACAGGAACTTCCCTTTGGAAACTATAATACTTTAAATTTGTTATGGAATGTTCCTGTTAGAAACAGTGACACAGTGCATTACCACTAAATCATGTGCACAGGGAAATTGTAGAAGTCACCAGATGCTGGATGTTTTCCCTAATGATGCTCTTTCAGGGATGTAATGCAGTCATTTAGTGTTATCTTCAGTCAGCATGACCAGATCAACAGAGCGTTTTGCTAGTATTCAGAGAATTTGATGATGGCTCCATTTAATTTGTTTAAATCTTCCACCATTGAAGTTACAGTGCAGGCATGTCCATGCTGACCATTTGGAAATGTATCAGCATGTACAATCTTTCTTTGTGCTACTGTGTTTCTTGCACGGTTTAAAAGATGCACAAGGCTTCCTTTATTTCTGGGTGTCACCAGAGTTGGCAATTCTGTTTTGTTCTTATCCTTTCTTATAAAGCATATTTAAAATCTTCATCTAAAGGGAACTTCAAAATTTTCATTCGCAATGAGATTCAGGTCAAGTAATTGATTGTTTGTTTTTTCCCTTTTTTTCTAATGATGCAGTTTCTTTGGCACAGTCATTGTCCAGTTGCATCTCAAAGCGCTGTTTTAATATGTTTGGTTGGATCTAAGAAGTTAATATGCTTCTGTTGACTTTGAATAATTGCTTTGGATAATTTGTTCCTTTTCTCTTCCAAACTTTCCTTTTTGTAACATCATTCTGCTACTAGTATTATCTTACATTAAATAATGAATGTTATTAGCTGTAGTTTGTATCTATTGGAAATTTTTCTCCTCATGCTAGTGAGCTTGTGTGAGTGCTAAACTCACCTTATTATATTTGCCTCTTAACAGTGGACAATACGATGATACTAACATCTGTCTCTGATTTTTTTCAGCCTCATGCTGGCATCTTTTACTGGCAACAACACTTTTTTCCTGCTACTGTCTCCAAATGCAACATCAGTAGACTCCAAATGCAAATTCCTCATCTGAAATTACTTATGGGCCTTTTTAAGCTTGCTTGTCAATGAATTAACAAGGCAATAACACAGGTCTCTGACAACTTGAGCAGCTAATGGTTCAACGGTTTCTAAAAGGCTAAGAAATAATTTTTTGCAAAGGCTGTTATTCTTATGTTTCAATAAATATACAATTACATGCTCTCAACTTAGAGCTTACAGCCTGCACATTATCTTAATATTTATTGTTTTAGTTCAAATAACAGTCTACTGGAGTGCAAAGCCAAGGCAATAAAATTGTCACTTGCGATATACGTAGTACATTGCAGAAAAGATTGACTTTGAGCTTTTCTACTCTAAAAGGCAGATGACTTGGGTTCAGCCTGAGGATCTCTTTTACTATTTAACTCAAATTTTGTGCTATCTCTGGAGAGAGAGTTAGATCAGAGCTGACTGGAGTTTTGCTGTGAGCGAGTTTACTTCCCGGGGGTGTAAAGTGTCTACCTAAGCTCCACTGGGGAAATATTGCTACTAAATGCAACAGGACTCCTGCACTGCTGTTGCCACACATTAGATTTTTGCCTACAGTAAAGTTCTCAAATCCGTGTAAACTGCAACTGAGCTGTGATATTTCAAGGACTAATGCCAACATTTGCCACTAAGAGAAGTTGGGAAGGTCTGACTACTGGACTGTGGAAAAATTCCATTGTTGACTGTTGGTGCTCATAGTCACCACCAGTGTTCTGTCTCTCATCCCCTACTGTAACTAGGAGGGAACACAATGTTTCCATTTATAGAAAAAACGCACAAATTCTTTTGGTGAACTAAGAACAGCGAAAATGTGAGCCATGTGTTGAGCCCAGAGGAGCCTGGGGTTTAGCACTGATTTAAAGCAAAATGACCAGGATTTCCAGACCTGTGCTCAATGTTGTCATATGTAGTCTTTTGTTGGAGTAACATTGTCTAGTGCTAGTGGACACAACACTAGAATGGAAAGTAAAGGAAATGAAAGATAACTGTGTGATGTGGCAGATCTTCTAGTCTTAAGAAAGGCAAATACACCACAACAAAGCTGACTGAAAGCAAGTCTGATACGTGGCAGTCACTTTGTCGTGACTAGTGCAGATGGAAACCAGAGAGAGTGTGGGTGGGAACGAGAGAAAATGTGAGATTGCGGTTGGGAGCAGAATGAAACTTTACGGGAGCGGGACTGTGCTGACCTCTGCCACAAGGGTAATGGCTTCTTAGGCCTTTCGAAGAAAAGAGCCAAATTTAGAACACTAAAAGGAACTCTTTCTGTTATGTTTTGCTTGCAGGGAGGAATGTGCTCAGTGTTTCTGCAGGAAACTGAGAAGGTGGTTAGCATCTCTAGTGAACACCTCGAGCCTGTGACACCAACTAAAAACAATAAGGTACCGCCTCTGCTTTCCACTGCACAACACCAAGACAGCTGTGCATACACTTCAATATCCCCCTTCAACCAGCATCAAAGAAGACAGAGCTATGTGTCTTACAAAAGCTTTTCTGTGAATCATAAGTCACTGTTTTTTGAGGGTTTTTTTTTTTTCCTAAATATTTCTAAAATAAATAAAGTTTTTTTCCCTTCACATCCCGATCCAAGGACTGCAGCACTGAGTATCTGCCAAAACTGTGTCACAGTCCGATATTTATATAGTTTTTGGAGATAATGGAAAAAAGCAGTGCAGTAAATACAAATAAACAATAACTAGCTCTTCATTACGAATAATTAGGGTTGCACTGATACCATATTGGTATTGGCACCGATACTTGCACTTAAATGCAGTATCGATTATGGGGATACTAATTCCTGTGACCGATATCACAAAGCAATTTCTGACACGCATGCACTAATAAGTGACCCATGCATGTGCAGCATTATTATTATTATTAGTAGTAGTAGTAGTAGTAGTAGTAGTAGTATGTTTTTTATATAATATAATAATACAGAAACAATAAAGAGTGGAGCATTTATCAGTATCGGTATTAGAAGGGAAAAAAGTGGTTTCAGTACATTCTTAAAAACAATGAATAAATATCAGAAATAAATGGACGTTAAAATTAGTAAACTAATCCAATTTAGACAAATTATGCTTGTCTGCCAGTTAATTTAAAATGCTGTAGTAAAACCTTTATTTGTAGTATGTGTAGCGTGCCATGCCCTGAAGTGACACTTTGTTTTTTGGATGACTTTTATTTCCTCATGATCATACTACAGCATTTTAAATACTGATTTTGAATTTAAAGTTGATCTAACAACTGCAGAGTGGCCTAGTTGTTTCTCGTGATTTTGGCTGCAGCTTTACTCTTACCGCCAAGTGTGCAATAAAGCTTAGATTGGCTGAGGCACTGATATATAGGATTGAGACATCCCTAAAGGCCATAGTTCTGTGCCTTGTGTGCAACTGTAATGATCGTTTGTGCTCAGTCACTGTAGCAAACACTGTATGGTGACCGTCTTTCCCTCTAGCCCTGTTAGATTTGATTGTGTAAGCAGCTGTTGCTGAGGTTGCTTGTTTTTCCTTTTGGAGAACCCTTGTATTCATTTTTTTTAGTTTTGTTTAACACTATCGTGGCTATTAGAGCACTGAAAGAGCATTTTGCAGTTTGTATGTAAATCCTGTAATGTGTCACTGTTGCCTTCAGGTGAAGGTGATTTTGGGAGAGGACAGGGAGGCCACAGGTGTCCTGCTCAGTATAGATGGAGAAGATGGAATTGTCCGAATGGAACTGGACGAGCAGCTCAAAATCCTCAATCTCCGCTTCCTTGGAAAACTGGAAGTGTGAGCAGATGCACTCTTCACACAACAAAGCAGCATTCTTGTCAACAAGCTTTTTGTTTTTGTTTTTTTTTATTTGTTTGGTTTCTGTTTCCCATTATAGATTTAAATCACAAAATAATGAATGTGGTTTGCATTTTACAATGTTATGTTTGTTTGTTTTTTTTTAATTAGTCAGTGTTTTAGTGGATATAGCTCATCTTTGGTGTAGAGACTTGCTTTTGGGCAAACTGATTCCATGTCAATAAAATGTGAAACTTGTAATGTTGTACTACATTCTTTTATGTTTACATTAATTTATTTTGTTTCTTAATTACCCAAAGGAAAAAAAAATCTTAAGATTGTGTTAGAGAAATAAAGCAGATCTCAATATTATATTAATGAAGGATCACTGATGTCTGAATTGTTTCTCCTAAGCCCCTCTTAGGAGAAAAAGAGGAGATTAACATCAGCATTTCACTGTAAGAAGTTCTGGTGATAAAGGAGAAAAGTATGAGTTCTCCTTCTACACTGATGGAGTGCAGAAACAGTTCTGTAATATAGAATAGAGCTTTATAAGAAAACAATGAGATCTTATACTTTTTTCTTATGGAAATATTATTCAGCTGAGACTGGGATGAGATGAGTCAGACACAAGTGTTAAACCTCATGTGTGACAACATTTTGATCAAAGTGAGGGTTATTTCTCAGGAGCCAAATTTTAGAACCAAGAGAAAATGGTTTAAGTCTCACTCTGATTTCAAACTGGACTTGTGTCTGGGAGAAGTACCTGAGATCAAGAGGAGCTCTCATTGAGAATGTTTGCTCTGTCTGGGTAGGCATGTACTGTGGATGTAAAATAAGCTACACATGGTGTGTTCCTGCCCTACCAGCTAGCTCATATTTTTGCTTTAATGCTTTAAGTCACCTGCATGAATGCTCATCAGAATTGAGGCTTTATGCCTTAGCTCCCTTCAAGCTGATGCTTGTCATAAGCTGCCATGTTCAGATGCAGGGTTGTTTGGGATGCTCATAGTCAATTGGGAAGTAGAAGAAGGTGCTGTTCTTGGGACATGGATGTCCTAAAGAGGTGTTTGTGGCCTTGGCAACCTTGAGTATGTGTTCCTTTTCCTCTTTGTGGCATCCAAGAGTGATGTTCTTAGAGATGTAGATCTTGAGCTGCACCCATGCCTCTCGCTCCTAAATTCAAAGGGGAGAGCTTAGTTTTTTTTTGTACTCTTTTTAGTCATGTCCACAGATTATCTGCCAATCTGTCAGGCCACCTTTACGCTGTCCATTAATTGAAAGGGACCAGCATAGGACCGCCACAGAGCAGATATTTGGGGTGTGAATTATTCTTAGCACAGCAGTGACACTGACATGGTAATAAAAGCATGGTGGATGCTGGGGTCTTTTAATCACTGACTGAATAACCAACCAAACATATCCAACCAACAGTGCTTTTGCAGTCAAAAACTGATGGCTGAAGAATGACAAACACCTGTACTTGGTTGACGTGCTACAGTCTTGAACTGTACACTAACATGGTGGTTGTGTCTAATACCGTGATCAGTAGGTGTACACAGTTTAAAAACCCCAGCAACGCTGCTCAGTACTACCATGTTGGTGTCACTGTGCTGAGAATGACCCTGCAAAATAATACCTGGTCACGATGGTCCTCTGGAGGTCCCTTTCCATTGACTGACAGTATAAAGGGTTACTCATTAACTGTACAGCAGCAGGTAAGCTAGTCTAGTACTATCAAAAAATAACATTCCACATTTGAATATTCATCGGATCAAATGAAAAACGTCAATTTGGTTAGAATGATATGCGTGTTTAAAGCTCTGCTGCAGTTCCTAGTATGTTCTTGGCCGGTGTCGGATGACTGTGACTAAATGCCTGGGAGAACATGCCGTTGCTGACATTAAGGAAATTAAACAAAATGACCCATTCTGGCTTTAATTAGGCATGTAAATGTAAGACTATTGGAAACACATGGCACCTCTTTAGCAACTTTGTGCTTTCATTCTCACAGTACTCTTTTACTGGCCTGTAACGAAATATCTGAACTGGGGGATTTTATGGAAAATTGCCAAAAAATAATTAAAATATTAAAAGCTGTCTCATGACTCCAGGTTGAGAACCCAGGTTTTCCATCTATGTCTTTCATGCGAATGTTGAAATGCGCTTCAAAAAACATAACCTTCCTGTTATCCTCAAATTTATTAACCTCTTTATTCGTGGGATCAATTCGATCCCAGCAATGTAAACCTCTGGGAAATATCAAATTTCTATGTGTACGTTTCCCCCTCCCCCATGTGGTGTGAACCATCACTGGTTCTTACACTACTACAGGTATGGTTAGGTTAGGTTAGGGCCCTAAAGCAGAAGACTATAAAATTGCATGTTATAGTGACCTCAATATAATTCAAAACAACCAAAAGAAATGTGTGTAAAATGTTGATATTTCTTATGTTTTATACAGCTAAACCAGCCAGGGGTCAAATTCCGCTTTCAGGACTGTATGCCCCTGTGCCGTTTGCAGCAATTCGGTTGGTGAGGTTTTTATTTGTTTGCAGTCTTGCTATTAACCAAAATATAAATATTTACGGTTGCTACTCACCTTCTCATCCTTCACACACTGTAAGACATAATTGTCTCCAAGGAACGGCCCCAGCGCAGCATGCACATCCTCATGCTGAAATCACAGAGTGATGAGTCACAGAGATTGAGCAGCATTTCTTGACTGGCATTGAATATGGAGGCTCATGACTGTAACCTTACCTTATAGGAGATGTTGCAGGAAGGCTTGATACCTGCATTGGTGAGGGCACTATATGAAAGTGGAAATGGAAGTTAATGATACATCCATATCTTCCACCTCCTTCATTTCCAGGTGTGCTGTGTTATGTAATACGGGGGACATACTTATCAATGTCAAAGAGCGTGCGGAGTTTGAGTGAGGTTCTGAAATAATCAGCTGGAGAACCCATGCTCTCCACACAGGCAGCACATGTTCCGTGTTTAAACCATTCGTCTCTCCTGTCGAAACACGTAAGAGAGATTGAAAGAAGAGTGAGAATGTGAAAATGAAGCCATTTCAATGGTTTTGTTTTCAAGTTATTACAGTGAAAAAATTAAGCATAGCCTCAAAAGATAACTTCTTCAAAAAAGTTCCTGTGTTAGGAGGGTTCCACAGTAAGCTTTTTGTCAGGAAGCACTAGTGCCTCTGATCTGAAATAAGCAGGAGCACATAGAAAAATCTATGAGCGCGAACTTAAAACGAACATCATTTCCTCTTTTTTTCTTTGTTCCTCCTATCAGTCAGAGAGGATGTTTAATTCAGCGGTCCGATTTTTCCTACATTGTCTAAGCCCTTAAGGATTACCCAAACAACATTAGGAACTACCATTTTCCATCGTTCAGTATTTCTTCTTTTCTTGCAGTTTCTTTGATTTGATGTGTTCCTGTCTTTTTTGTAATTAACACAAAGTATGTCTTTGTACCAGCAGTTTTTATTAGTTTGTCCTGCCAGCCAGTGAGCTGGACAGACATTTCTTACTGTAACGTCTTTATAGTTTGAAATAGTGTTTTTATAATTTTTTTTTGTTTATTACAGTATAGACTAGGGCTGGCTTTACACTGTGAAACTTTAATTGAACTGAGTTACATAACAGAAAATGCTGTGCAACTTATTTGAAACTCAGCCGCAACAGAAACAAGTTTCATGAAACAGCCCATCAAAGCTGGGATTACACATCACGTGAGCACACCAAATGACATTCAACTATCTGAGTCTAGTATTGTCTGTGTCTGTGATGACACTGCCCAACACGGTCAGACAAGCTTTTTGAACCATGACATTTACGTGAACTGCCCTGAGGCCACAGCAAAGGCAAAAGACACGATTCTTACAGTAAACCAGCAGTTCGTAACTAAACCATGAGCCTTGACAGCTAAGACCGGTGACTACAGTGCTATTAGCATGCTGAGGAAGGCTGTGCCAAAATGCATCTGTGCTTAATTTTATATGAGTGCAGTCCAAACTTTTTTCATCTGTAAATATAGCAACATTCAAGGCCAGTGGCACGCATCATTACAAAAATCCACACATTTGTGTTCATGCATAATGATTATGCATAGCTAAGTGGTAACATTACACTAGGACCATCTGTTCTCGCACTGTAGAACCTTGATTTTACACATCACAGTTCTAATAACCTCACAAAAAGTTAAATACAGAGTTAGCCTTCAAGATTTTGTACAGTGAGACAGTCAGGACACATTACCAGAAACCAAAGCAGGTCTTTGTTTTAACCAGTGATGGCCAAAGCTGAGAGAGTTCAGGCTCCAGCTCCTAGCAAAAAAAGAGAAGCAGGTAAAATGACTGAATGTTTTAACTCATATAGTTTGAGATTTAGCAGTTTGAAATAACTGAATTACCTGAAGATGGGAGTGATAGATTTGCCAACAAGAACAGCAGCCTTGAGTGTGCTCAGGCCTAATTAAAAATCACAGAGAGAAGAATGTCATTTAAACACTGGTAACTTGGCCATAAAAACTTAAATACAGATTTTTTTTTGGCTTAGTTGAAAACTGAAATTAACAGTTAGGTAACTGTGGGGGAAAAAATAGTTTTAGTGTCCTCCATTGTTGTTGTTTACCACAGGCCATGGATGGTCCAGTTCCGAATGTTTTCTGGTATCTTGCAGATATTTTTATGTTCAAGGCTCTGTGAGAAAGCAGTAGTTACAAAAATGATGTCATTCGTTAGACAGAAAAAAGTCCTATTAAGTCAGTGTTCTACGTCAGAGACACATATACATTAATACTGTTATTGAATTGGATGTTTTCACTGCTTTATGACATTTTGACTCACCAGACAGAAGCTCCCTGGCCACTGCACTGTGAAAATCATGCACGTCCAGTTGCAAGAGCTGAAAATAGACAATGTAAGTTAAACATTGCCCTTTGCTTTAACAGCATTTAGGTGGCAACATGATAGCAAAGGACAGATCTATTCTAGATAGAAATATTAATAGCAATGTGATGTGGTTAAACTTTGGAATAAGCAACATACAGCTGAATGCAAAAGTTTGAACAGGAAACAAACTTTAATATGGCATTTCAGTGCACAATTGTAATTTATTTGCTGAGTCTAACATATTGGAAACATAAAGCAAAAATATAAAATGTGCCATAACTTTTATACATGCCATATTATCTGCTTTTCAGTATGTTAAATTCAGCAAATAAACAGTAATTGTGCATCAAATATGTGTGTTCCTTGTAGAAAACTTATTTTCACTTTTCACAGAAAATCAACAACACAATTTGATGGGGGTGCCCAAACTTTTGCATACAACTGTACCTAATGTTGGACTCATTTATAACGCAGGTTTATGACTATTATGATCAGGCTTGCAGCATCTCTATAACTATTTTCTTCCAAATGGCAAAATATGCTTTGTCTTCATACAGAACAATGACAAATACTATAAATGAACCTTACTGGATTGTTTCACTTGTGGTCCAGTGGGCTTCTGGACCCTGTGTGAGAGCCCATCCAGTCAGTAGAGCAGTGGAGCAAATCCAGATGAAAGATGATTTACCTGAAGCATACATATATAAATACATGCACAGTTTGTAGAAATACTGATTTCAATTTAGTTTAAAAACGGTTAAGAGTACTTACAGCAGGCCATGATAATGCTGCACACTTCTGAGGGATCAGAAAACAGTTACAGAATCGTTTCCCTTTTCAGGGGTTGCTGCAAAGCAGAACTGAAGTGAAACAAGACACACTGCAGGTGAAAGTTCCATTTTTGAATGTCAGCAGAGGAAACGGGGAAGTGATACTGCAGTGGCAACTGTAAGCACAGCTGACCGACACTGCTCCACCTTCAAAAACTGCTTCTATAACATCCACATCAGCGGACAGCGGCCGCCATATCACACAACGACCGGCTATATATTACTTACTTACGCCATTTGAAAATGCGAGCTGCCCTTGACAGTTTGTGACCATTTCTTGACAAATGGACCAACAGAAATAATCGAGATTGACTTGGTATAAAATCTTGTTACATTGGCTTATAATAAGAACAATGTTCCTTCTCCTAAAAAGTTAGCTGAGCTCATCTGAAATAGACTGATGCACAGTGCAAACATATTGTGGTCTGACGAGTCAACCTTTCAAACTGTTTAAAATTATATAATGGACACTGTGTTCTCCAGGCTTTCTAGATGCCATCTTTTTCAGCGATGTCCATGCTCAATTCAACATGACAGCACCAAAACACATTCTGCATGTGTTACTACAGCATAGCTGTGTAATCAGAGAGTGCAGGTGCCAGTGTGTCACATTATGCTGAAAATACAGGAACAATGTATATGGCTGCACAGCTGAAGACTTGTAGAACTGAAGATTGGCTAAAAATTCCACTTTCAAAACGGGATCAGTTCAGTATATATAATTTAACAATTAACACTATAACACATGTAAATCATGAAATTATTACTCTATTTAAAGTTAAGGCAAGCTGTATACCATATTCTTCATATTTGTCTCTTTAGTGTTCCAAATTGTTGGTGACTGAATAAAACCCAGAATTTTTTTCCATGTTTTTTTCTTATTCAGAAATCGGGGTCTAAACCAAACCATGGATTTGGAGAATCCTTATACCCCTAGTAACTAAAAACTGAACTGAAGCAAGTATTTCGTTACTTACTTATATAAATCTATTTATAAATCAATTTATATATATAATATATATATATATATATATATATATATATATGCACTTTCAAATAATATAACTATTTCACTATATAATCATTAGTTACATCCAAAGTCAAGATTTAAATTAAATTAAAATGTAAAAAAAAATTCAATTTAATTAAATGGCGATGCAGTGCAAAGGGGGAAACCAGCAACAGATGGCTGCACCAGGGGGTGATTTGCACTCAAAGTGAATCAACGAGGAAGACTGTTACAGGAAAACTGGAAATCAAATGAAATTGCAGCTATCACTGACGTATAAACTCAGCCGATGTGTCATCAGTATATGGGGAATATAAACAGTTTGTGAATGACACGTTTTTGTATGTGCCGCTGGTGAAGAGTCAGCCTGTGACCACGCGGACAGTGAGTGGATGGTCTGAGGAGACCTACGAGGCACTGCAGGACTGCTTTGAGGTTACTGATTGGCCGGCACTCTGTAAGCCACACGGAGATGACATCAACGGGCTCACAGAGTGCATCATGGACTACATACATCTCTGTGTGGACTCCACTGTCCCAACCAGGACTGTTAATTGTTACCCAAACAACAAGCCGTGGGTAACAAAGGACATTAAAGCTCTCCTTAACAACAAGAAGAGGGCCTTCAGAGCTGGAGACAGGGAGGAGGTGAGAACGATCCAGAGGGAACTGAAGACAACTATCAGGGAGGCTAAGAACAAATATAGGAGGAAGCTGGAGTGGAAACTCTGTGGGTATGGAGCTGGCCATTATGGACAATGGCTCCCATCCACTCTACGACACAGTGATGAGGCATAGGAGCACATTCAGTGCAAGACTCATTCTACCGAAATGCACCACAGAGCGCCACAGGAAGTCATTCTTACCTGTGGCCATCAAACTCTATAACTCCTCCCTCAATGTGTGACACTATGGTTCATCTGTGCAATACTCAATACCAAATTGTACTGTTCATATGTGTAATAATAAAAATAATTTAATTGTTTTTTTTTAATTATGTGTGCAATACCTCAGAGGTGCAATAATTGATTCATTGATTGACAGCCCATTTATTAGCATAAGGACAAGGAAATACAGAAATAAATAAATAGAGAAATAAATATATATAGAAATTAATACTTTTGGAAATAAATGAATAAAAAAAAAATTAAATAAAGAAACATAACAAAAAAATTACAAAAAATAATGAGGGAAAATTACTAAATAGAAATATATAAGTAAATGCAGACCTTAATTTATGCAAGGTTTTATTTATTAATAATTATATATATATATATATATATATATATATATATATATATACTTATCATCATCATTCTTTGCTAATATTCTAATTCATACATTAATTTACTAAGTCATTTATTTTTAATTTTATTCATTTTTCATTTTGGCAGGTCTGGTCCACCATTCAAAATGCTGTGTTTCCGTTACTGAAGAAATTGTAAATATAACAATTTTGTGAAAAGAGTAACAGCTGTATAATGGGCAACATATTTTTATATTTCTGAAGGTGGTATATATTTTTCATAATAATGATGGTATACATTAAGATAATTCACAGTTTTAATGAAATAAAATGCCTGCTTTTGGTAAATAAACACAACCAGTTTACATACTGGCAGATACATTTTTTCTATTAAGAAATATGCTTGAAACAAGCTAAATGATCTGCCAATATAGTGTGATCATTTCACTTTAAATATGTAATAAACAGTAAATAACAGTTATTTTTGGTGTGTATATATATTTCAGAATAGGTTATTTAACATCAACTCATACACTATAACGTATTTGCATTTTCTTAGGGCCCTTGGATCACGGGGTCCTTGGGTGGCTGCCTACCTTTGCCTAGTGCAAAGGCCGCCCCTGCAAAGAGACACTTTACTTATTTATTCAAAATGATTTGTGAACCTACACGTGTCTTCTGAGTTTTAATATGTAATGTTGATAATGGTAGTAAATCTGAAAAAAGAACTTTTCTTTGGGGATTATTTTGCCTTCCAACACCCTGCATGTAATCTTCCTTTAACAATCATTTTTATGTATTTTTTCATGTATTTTAGGCCAAAAAGCTTCTCTCAGAACTACTGTAAAACGATGGCTCAGTCATCAGACAGAGTATTTATAACTATTTCATGTAGTAACTTTCTGTGAGCGAGCTTTAAGGAGCATTAAACACTTCAGGAGTCTGGCTCCTCTCACTACCACAGTGAACCAATCTGAATTGATAGGTTTCTCTAGAACAGAGCCACACCAAACCACTCTGAATGACTTCAACAGCTTAATTGTGCAGAAACATTGGTGGAATTGCCCTATTGTAACTGGCCAAATACCTGAAATACTTACTAAAACACTGAAAATACATACATATGTACACATACATAAATCACTATGACAAATGATTATACATTTTGAGCAGTACTGTACTTTTGAGTGGAATCACCACCACAGGCACAAAATGTGAACCTTATCTGTTTTTAATAATGTAATAACAGAATAGCACCAATAACAGTAAAATCATTCATATTCTCAGCAGGGCCAACTTCCACTTCTTCATATTTGTAGCATTACTAGTTCCCATATTGCCTGGCTGGATGACTGGGATAATCCACAGCATCTGGAGCACTGCTTTAGTCCAGTTGCAGAGCTGTCCAGTGTGAGTGTTTGTTCCCTCCCGTCCACCATACTTGGCATCGGTTCAGAAGTTCTGCAGTGTGTATGTGCGTCCTTGTATGGGCCCTGGCTAGACAAGCAGCAGGAATCTTCACAGAGAACAGCGAGCAACATGAGGCACTTACTGGTAAAAACCTCGTATTTACTAATGAATTCTAACGTTGTTGGTAACAGCTTTATTTGTTCTTATGTTAAGCCTGCAAGAGGGGAAAAATGACTTACTAATGGAAACCAGCTCACTTAAGCAGGGCAAAAAAAACCAGATTGACCTCTGTGCCACATTCGGCTTAGTTGAAGTTCTGAGGATAACATTATCAGTCCCTGGACTGGAACTTATTAAACAGTTTCATCTTGTAATGAACCTTGTTATTGTAAAAACAAGTGGTAGCAATAGAGGAAAATTGCTGAATGACTGCAGGCCAGAAATAACCTGTTAACTGATATGGAAGCACTTGCTTTATGAGGAAAGCAAAGTGGACCGTACAGAGGTTTGCTGTCTGCTCAAACAAACTTTAAATCAGGAACGTTATACTGGCCATCTAAAGCCAAATGACTTCATATGTGTTATTAAAAATTTCTATGCATTAACTTTAACTGAGCTCTTTCCCTTGTACTAGTGTAAACACTGCATGCATGTATTCCTATCAAGATTTCTTGAACAGGAACTAACACAAACCTACGTTTGCTGTCTAGAAAGAGTTAATGCAGGTCATGTCACCCTCACACACTCCAGGTTTAGCATGTGTACATGTGCACGCACACATACACTGAGGAAAGGGTCATCTTTTCTGTCCCACCCTCAGTCTGTAAACTGAGCTCTGATTGGTCTGTTCTCCATGTTGCGCAGTCTCAACTGTGACTAATACTGATTCCTACTCCTGTTTCACTTGCACATATGACCTTGGGAACCATAATGTGTGCTAAACCTCAGCCATGTGTTTGATTAATGTGTAACAACTTAAACAGACTACTAGACTAGACGCATTAAAGTTGGGTTCTAAAATAGTCGGTTTCCACAATTTTGGAGCCGTAACAACAAGAGGTTTGACACTGAATACAGTATAACCTTAAAGTATCAAAGACTTCTTCCTTGTGTGATAAGAAAAGAATTTTGATGGTTTCATGCTGCAAATATGCTATTTAACCCCTTAAACTGCAAGGCCACACTCATAACTACATAATAGTTTTTATGGAATAATTCACAACAGTTGCTGAATAATGAGGCTGCAGTTTAATGGAACACATTAAAGCTCTGTGCAACTATTGGCCTAGACGTTTAGATAATTTCTTTAAAGCAGTATTTAAGTGGGATCTGTGAGTATTTAGACAGTGACTCAGTTTTCTGTTGATTTGACACTCGATTTACACCTTATCAGTACTAAAGCGTATCAGCCTCGGGCCGATATCAGCCAAAAATGACAAATTGGATATTGCAGGGGGAAAAAATGAATCTGATCCAATCCTGTAACAAAACTAGCCTGAAATCTCAAACAGGCAAAAGTGCACAAGTAGGATGCAGTAGGCTATTCTGAACACAGCATTACTTAAAAGTAAAGAACATTTTGGCACTCTCCTATAAAGTTGCCATTTTGGAGACACTTGTTTTTCTTTGGAACGTGACGATATACACGGTCATATACTGAAGACTGGGAGCCCCTGGTTTAATAACATGTTTTGTTGATTTTCTAAGTGAAAGTAAGTGAACACATCCTCTACAGAGAACACACTCCTCCCCATTTTAAGGTTTAATTACTGTTTATTTGCTGAACATATTTGCTTAACATTTAGGAAAAATATAAAATATTGTATGTTTTTCCAGCATGTAAAACTCCACAAAATTGTCGCTGTCGGGACAAAACTTTGTATCTATTTTTTTTACTTCTTTACATAATTTTAAAACACAATTCAATAGGCCAAAGCCTTTTGTCAAAGACTCCTTGTGGAAAAAAAAAACCTCTTTACCTTAACTTACATTATAAGAAACTGTATTCAAGTGTGTTCTTTGTAGAGGATGTGATATTTTCCCTTAGAAAATCAACAAAACGTAATTTGACCAGGAGCGTTCAAACTTTTGCGCTTGACTGTGTATCGGTACCACTTAATACTACTTAACTACTTAAACAAGTTGCTGCTCAACTGTTTCTTGGTTGACTGTTTATGACTGGATTGTTTGTTACATACACAGTAAACAGACAGTTACGGGAACAATAGTCTTAAGAGGAAAAAGAACTGCCTAGGACCCAAAGCTTCAGACCTTATTTTGAAACTCTGGCTTGCCAGAGGACTTGGCTCACTTGACTTTATTATTGATGTTACTACGGAAGGCAGCAGCAGGAGGAGGAGTACAGAAGTGTCTCGACAGCACAAATCAAAGACGACGCCTTAAAAACACATTTTAAGTGGGAAAAGAGCAATAATATGCTCTGATATACAGGCTCTGATCAGTAGATCAGTAGATCCTGACAGTTGTCTGGACATGTGCTTCAATAGAAGGAATAATTTTTAAAATTCCTAACTCTACAGAGGTAAATATAAATAAGTAAAGCAAAATCGTGCAAATTAGATTTACAAAGAGGCAAATGGAGCTCTGAATTAACTAAAACTCTGAAGGAAAACGCTGGAGAATGCTTCCAGCATTGATCTCATGTGATTTGCTTATGTTATTTTAATACTTTTGCTTAGCTCTTCGAAACCACTGGAACCAAAACTTCCCTTTTTTTTTACTTGCCCGTAATAAATTTGTCTGTAATGTCTTAGTGAGATGATGCAACTAAAAGGTGTAGTAATCCAATGTCAATGGGCTTATACTATAAATATAACATGAGATGTGTGGTCACAATCCATTTTTTGTGGAATTTTCATTAGAGCCTTCAGCGGGTGGCCGCCCGGGCCATCAACACAACAGCCAGACAGATGAGGAACAAGGTTCCAGAGAAGCAGAAGATTTTCCAGGTGAGCTATATGAGAAACACAGATGTACTCACAGCATGTTCATTCAGTGCAGTGCTGTACATACACTTTTAACAAGCTCTGTGGGTCTGAAAGAGGACATAGAAATGAATCCCTACACCAAAAGCAACAAATATGAGAGGACTCTTGTGGTTCTTTAAACTTTCCTTTTTAAAGAAAGTTTTAAAAAAAAACACCATAATAATGTGTATGTATTTCCATATCCATATGTTCAAACCAAAAATCACTAGGTTTTATATTTCAGAACGTAGCTGGTTTAGGAGAGGAAACATTCTTGCAGTATGTGTTTAACATTCTTCTTTTTCAGGAGGACAATGGCCTGCCAGTCCACATCAAGGGGGGGACCACTGATGTGCTTCTCTACCGCTTAACCATGACCCTCACTATTGCTGGTAGAATACTACACATCCTGATGTCCATCACTGCATCTACGTCCAGTGTTGGTCTAGTGCTTTGCTGCATCCTTATTACATTACTGAATCTGATCTTTCTCTCTGACTCTGTTTATAGGCACTGGATTTTCCTGTTACTGGCTACTGGTGGCCTCAATGCCCAGAAGCAAGGCAGACTAAGGAGGGCAGATGAGATTATTGTGTGTTTCTTACATGAATTCAGTTGAATTCACTTTCATGCTGTACAAATACAATTTCAAATAAATGTATAGGGTATATAAATCAAAGTGTGCCAGTGTGCCTCTGTAGCCTTGGGCTCTACAAAGCATGTTAGTCCTGTGGAGGTGTAGAGAGCAGAGAAAATTCTCTACAGCAGTGTGCTTGGCTGCATCCAAAACCACTTTTATTCTGTACTGTACTGTGCACAGAGTACTAATAAATGTACTACAAATGACATTATACATATACATTATATATATATATATATATATATATAAAGAGAGAGAGAGAGAGAGAGAGAGAGATAGTCCTCACAAAATGACTGGTTCACGAAAGTTCTTTGGCTTTATCTTTTATATTTGGCAGTTATATTTATTCTGTTTTCAGAAATTCCCCTACGGCAAAATAAATATAAATTCAAAATCAGCGTTCCCACTCTTTTTTAGGAAACTATTTTCCATGACTTCTGTACATGGCTCTTTCTCACGAAAAGTAATCTCAAAACAATTTATTCACAAAAACCATTCCTTAATCAGTCATCATTTGATCACAAGCTCTCCAAAAACATGACTGAACATACAAGCTACAAGGAGCTGCCTTTTATTAAAGTAGCCTTGCTCTATCAGGTATTCCGACACAGCGTCTACATGCAACTTAATTGCATGTAACTTCAATAGGTATGACTGGACACTCAAACTGGGCATTAGCAGCTAAAAATATGCAACCTTTGTGGTTTCATCACCCAACTTCACACTTTTCCAGGACATTGTCAATTTTCACATTTTCCAGGTGTTTTCCATGATCAGGGAAAAATGATCCAGGTTTTTCACAACGTGGGAACCCTGAAAATGTTTTGAACACAGCCGGCAGATGACGTACATCTGCAGTTTCCCTCTTCACGCAGTTACAGACCTGGTCCTAAAGCTTTGACTTTGCTACCACCTTGTGGCAAAAATGGATCTCTGCCAGCAACGTGGAAAAATACAGTTCAATTACTCAGCTTGAACAGTCATGAAAAGTTGAGGAACCATTGGATTTATCCTCCACAGAACATAATCTAAGTACTAGAGTGAGTGGACACACTACTAATCTATTCCCAACAAAATACCATTGCACAAGTACAAATTTATTTTTTTTTATTATTTTTAGCATAGTCATTAATACAAAAGCAAAGGCTGCATTTCCAAAAACATGCTGTTAAAGTTGACATGTAATTTGTATTCAAGGAGATTCTGTTGATAATTTTATCTGGACAACACACATAAGGTTTAAGGTCGGTAAAATTGTCGAGGTAGATTTTTACGCAAACATTGCACTAAGCCTTGAAATTAAAGAGTGCATGCAGAAAGTTACTGAGTAACTCTGAGCAAGCATTGTTCTGTATTTGCAGCTGCATATAACTTGTGCCTTGTCAGACAAGCAAATACTGTTTGTGAGATGTGCATTGCATCCATTGGTTAAAAGACCCATCTTTAGTGTCAATAAAATATTTAAGTACATTATAACTACCTGTTGTATACAATTACTAACTAAGACAACAGTGTTGTTGATGAATAACTAAGCTACTAGCTCATGTTCTAGTAAACTGTGGAAAATTTGATTAATTTTGTAGTGCACTGTAGACATTTTAAATCATTTAGCTTTAAAGTATTTATGTTTGCGCCCTGCAATGGACTGGTGACCTGTCCAGGGTGTTTCCTGCCTTCCACCCTATGGCCGCTGGAATAAGCTCCAGAACCCCCTCGCGACCAATAGGATAAGCGGTTTAGAAAATGTGTGTGTGTGTAATTATGTTTGAAATCAAGTGGTGAGATAGCTAATAAATGCTATATGTTACGTTTTTCTAAACAAATTGCCAGTTTTGCTTCTACTTCTCCTGGACAATCTAATATCATTAGTACACAATATAATATGTGAGCAGGGAATTTTCATATTCTCATTCTGTTTCTTGTTTTGTTTTCATTATCGTAGTGCAATGCATTCCTGTTCCAGCCTGCAGGCTCACTGCAGGTGATACATTTTCCAATAGAGAAGAGAGCTGGTAGCTTAGTTTACTCTATTTTGGAACACAACAGCTAGTCAACACAACTATTCCAGTTTTTTCAAAAAAAGAAAACTCAAGCAAAGTCACAGTAAAGCCAGGCAAAGTATCACAGTCGAGTATCAGAATTGTGTTTCACAACTGTTAAGCAGGTTAAAAACCTTTGTTCACTCAACAAAATTATACATCACACATATTTCTCCAGGCTCTGACAGCTTTCAGTAATAACTGCATTCCAGTAAATTCCATGATACAGAACTAAATAATCTTTGTAGTGTAATTAACGAGGAAGTTTAAAACAGTGATTGGGTGAGAGAGGCACGGCAGTAGTGGAGAATAAGGAATACCTCTGAAGACTGACTCCGCTCTCTTTGCTCTGTAATGGTAAGACTCTTAATTCCTTAGTGCTTCTTGGGAGCTCACAATGCTCTAGCGCAGAAAACGGATGCTCATCTTGTGGTCAATGTTGACCTTTTCCAGTGACTAATGCAAAACAAAAGAAGACCAATTCTCAATCTGAGCTCTGTAACAACACTTTAAATGCATCTGTCATAAATTACAGTCAATGTGGGTTTGTGGTAATACTTAAGAAACAAAGACAACTTAAAGAGATCTTTCATTAAAAAAAGTTAAGTAACTGTCTGTATTTTAAAGAGCCCAAGTTTCTGTGGTTTATCTACCAAAAAGAGTCATAATTCATTTTTATGCGAACATTTTCCAACCTCTCTCTATTCCTTAGAATTAAAAAGGCTGTTTGTTACAGTGCCTTTAAAACTGATTTATGTAAATTACCTCTGTTCTTATTGGCAGCCCTGTATTGTGCCTAATCAAAAAAACAATCCAGGCCAAAACACTCCTTATAATTTCAGTGGGAATGGGCGGCCTTAAACAGCTGTTGGCTGAATGGGTGGATATATGCAAATGCTTTAGTTTTTTGAGACTTCAAAGAAATAATGAGTTCAAAATTAGCTGTTTTTGCAACTCTAACATGAATCTGAAACTAATATGCAAGTTATGCAGTTATGAGAGTAACTAAAGTGTGGACCTACACACCTTTACATTTGAAATATCACAACCACTACACATAAAATGAATATTTTTTGAGGTGCACAGTGCACGTAATGTTGTTTTACCTTTCGAAACTCCTCAAAAGATATGGCATCATCTTTGTCCAGGTCTGCCTCTTGAATGGTGCGGTCTGCTATGCTTTCCAGCTGTTCCTCAGTCACCTGCTTCTCCAGCATTGCCCGCAGAACCTGCCAAATGTCTTTCAGATGTCACTTGATTAAATCAGGCAGATTCCTACCTATTCTAGAGTGCTTCAATATATGAATGTAGTGAGTGCACTACATTCATATATTGAAGCACTCTAGAACAATATTCTCAACCCAAATATCTGCAACACTCAATGTTAGCTTAAGTGCAAAATACAGGTCCTGGGGGGGAGTCTGGGACTTCCTAATAAATCTCCTGGAGCCCCTGAATGTCTGAAAAAAATCAAAATTCTTTCCCTGAAACTAAACTTATCAAGAACTAAATGTATCGAGAAGTTACGCTGTTCGTTAGGGAAACACAGACATTCAAATACAAATTCAGAAGAAGGTCATTGTTTAGCTTACTTCACAATCAACAATCTTCTGTCTTTAATATCCTTAACTAACTATGCAGCTCTGGTCTGCCTCGGGGTGGCGCTGTAGCAAATTAGTCCACCCTGTTGGTCCTTCATAGTCTAGCAAATGTAACTAAGACCAGAATAATTCTGAAAAACCTTCACAATATGCCACAGCATAATTGTTAATCTGACAATTTGTCCAATTTTGCAAGAGATTAGTGGAAAGAGTGAACTGGTACTCATTTCTCAAACCGAAGACATTTTGGTGCCATTGAAGCTAGTATCAGCTGAGCCCGATGAGTTAGCAGTTAGCCAACGCTGGAGTAGCCAGCCAACATAGGACCCCAAAACCAAGGAGTATTTCACACACTGATGTTAGACTGATTATCACTACCAATATATATTACACCAATAACTTTACCTATGACATATGATATGAATTGGTCTAATACATAATTATAAAGATGAGATCAATCTAAACATAAATGTCATAATGATATTTGGGTAGGTTTGTCTCCACTTTATATTGCAAACTCAATATTTTAGACCACATAGACGACTATCAATAAGCTTTGATAATGGTGCTGTCAAACACAGAAACACAATTAACATTACCTAGTATGAAAACATTAATGTTTTAACAAGACATTCACAAGCACTGACCTGCAAAAGTTCATGTCTGGAAATCTTGCCATCCTTGTCCTGATCGTAAAGCTGAAAAGCAACTATATAACCAGTAAGTTAGCTGACACATATATAATATAATATTTACCTACAAGACGTCAGATAAAGAAATAGTTTAACCCAATAAAAAACCTTCCATTAAAGTAAAGGTGTACTATTTTCTTTTCAAAAGCAGTGTAAACATACATTTAAGTTTGTTGCTCCTGCTATTTATGGGGTCTGGGGAGTTGGGCTCTTTAGGCCGGTTCTTGTCAATGGGACGAAAATGTGCCAAGATCCTCACAAAGGATGGGAAGTCCAGCATTTCTTCTCTGAAAGGAACATAATTTCATTTATATGTAATTCCAAGCATTTTACACAGAGAAACATAATGAATTTCTCTGTAAAACTCAGTGACACCTTGATTTCTTTTTAATCTGCATTTTTGTCTCTTACCAATAACTCCTGTCAATTTGTAACAACTCCTTACTGTCCTAAAGGTGTAGGGGATGTGATTTTTGCAGTTGTCAGTTAGTTAAAATTACTACACTCATTGCAGTTTAGCTCTTGATATTGTCCAAAAGCAGCATGTCAAAACTCTCTGTCCTCGCCCATTTCTCACCAATTTGTCAATACTATAAAACCAGTCATACTTATCACTTAGAATTCCTAGTACACCCTTGAATAATATAAAATATATAAGCTTATAGAGCAGAAGTTCCACTGTGCATGCAGTAACTGCATCTTTCATTACAAAACAAACGAACATAACACTTACATAAATGACTGCAGTACCAGAGCCTCTGTGTATTAATCCACAAAGAGATGTTCTTACCCTGAAGTGAAGAAGGCCCCGACTATTCTGTCACAAATAGGGTTCATGGCCAGCTCCTTTATGGCTACAAAATCTTGAGGACTTTAAGAAAAATAGGTTAATGAGACTTTGGGTATTTTGTGCCAGGCTCTGTAAGTGCCATTAAAACATAGAAAAAATGCTTAAGCATCTTACCTAAGAAAACCTTTCTTGTCTTTGTCCAGAGCTTTGAAGCGGTCATACAGGCGGACGAGATGTGCAGGAGTGACTGCAAGAGGAATAGGGCACAATCAACACCCTCATTTTCTGTACTTTAAACACCGAGTTCATTTACACACACATAAGCTGATCATTATTGGAATTTAGCAGTTATCTGATTATTCAAGTGGTCATGTAAACAGCATACTCTGATTCCTTAGATGAGATTAAGGCCTAGAAATACATTAGAGCTGGACCCACACTCTGATTTCTTTGTTTTCTCAGCTTGCACATATGTGAAAACAGACCGCTATCCCAGCAACAATAAACAGTGCATAACACAGCTGAACACAGGTTGAAACCAAGTACATGCCTGACGAAAAAAAACAGTTCGAATATTTATCATCTTCTGGATGATGTACATTCATATTCTCATACTTTGAGACACATATATAATGTGTCTCAAAGGTAATATCACAAGCAGTCATATGGCATTTGAGTTTTATGTGACGTTTACATCACGTCTTCTTCTGTGAGTTTATTGGCCAGTTGCAAAGCAGAAATCCAATTACTGCGTGGCTCATGTAGTAGAACTTTGTAGTAGAGTTTTCCCAATACCTGATTTTCTGCAATTACCAGATTATTAAGTGCATGTAAACGCACACGCTGTGTCATGATGATAGGGACACAGTGGAATCAGTCAGGTCAGTTTTAAAGGTGGGTCATCCTTTTAATGTCAGAACACTTTTTGTAATATTTGGCTAAATTCTCCTCACATTCTGGCAAGTCTGAATAAATTAGGTGTGGCTGTAAGGCTCTGTAAAAGTGGGAAAAAGACACACTGTAGACCACCAACATTCAGCCAACCAGGACGAGGAGGCGTATTTACTCACCTGTCAATCATGTTGCACGCACAGCACTTACGGGAAGCCATGTTTTAGCGCTGTACAGCTAGCTAGCTCCACACATGAACTGTGAGAAGACCCCTTTCTAGAACTTGGTTAGTTCTTCCAAAAGTAAAAGTAATACAAAAATTGCCAGTTCTGTCACTTCTTACGACAGTTTGCACGGCCAAACAAACCAAGATAAAAAACAACGGAAATTTTAAACGAAAACCAAGAGAAGAAACGAGGGAAATTTTAAAATAATAATAATAATATGACGGATGTAGAGTGAAGACACAAGGCTGAAGCTGAAGAAGTCAGGCCTGAGGCCCCAAAGTGTAACTGCTGCACCATTTAAGGTGAAAATTCAAACGAGAAGCTGGAGAACAAGAAGCTGAATTCAGCCTCGCAGCGAAGACCAGAGCGCGCATCCGTGCGGCTATGGGTGTTGAAGGACATGAAGAGGGACCCCTCACTTTATATCTTCTGGACAGGTAACTTTATTATTGCACATTACATAATTTATTAGAAACTACACAGCTGACTTACAGCTGTGCAGCAAAATAACTTTATAGCTAGCTAGCTAACGTCCATGTTAGCAAACGGTTGTAACGTTAACTAGCTGCCTACAAAGTAGCTAACCTAACCTATGTCACCTAGCTTATGCTGTTGCACTAGCTTGGAAAATAAGCTAGCTAGCTTGTTAACTAGTTAGAGATAACATGGCAGCTTGTCTGACGCTTACAGAGTGAACTCTAGGCTCACTCCGTAACGATAGGCAGCCAGCCAGCTTGTACGTTAGCCAGCTAGCTAGCTATTCAAGCTAACCTAGCTATGTAGATGACCGTTCGCGCCCTCATTTCAGTCACAATAGTAAATGATGAATAAGAAATACACACACACACACACACACACACACACACACACACATTTTCTAAACCGCTTATCCATTTTATTCACCACATTCGTCGCCAATATATGAGGGTTTCTCTCGCTGCCTTTTTAAAAACTCTATTTCGCTTTTGACTAAACTCCTGTGATCTTGGCTCCTGTCTGTCACAGCAACTGTCACTGTCCATCCACTGCCTTCAGACCCTCAGCTCTCAGCCCCCATTAGAAACTCACGTCAAAACACACCAGTTCACTGCAACCTGGCCTTCACATGTTTACAACTAAAAACAGCTGCACATTACGTGACCAAGACACTTAAAAAAAAGAGCAAGAATAACAAATTATTCCTTCACAAAATGTAAGCTAGTTAATGAAATCACGTTCATAGGGAAGATTTATGTCACCGTTATGCACTTTGTGCTCGATATAAAGCAGAGTTAAACATTTTGTACAGAAAACAATGTTGAATAGTTCAACGACAGCGATCCATTGACGAAAAACACCAACTTTAACCTACTTACAGCCAGTTTCTTGCATCAAGTCCTCCGCGTTGGGGATTTTTGCCAGGGTGGAGCTGGTGGAGCCCATCTCATACTCTTGTTTTTGTCATAGCCTAGCCAATGCTGCTAACAGATGTTTAACGCAGACAGGTTCAGACAGTCTTATCAAGCTCAAATTAGGAAAACATCGTCACCACAACCGCAAAATCTCGACCAAACCGACAACATTTTCAAGCTTGTGTTACCTTCACGACAGACATGAAATCTGACCAATCCCAGTTTCACGACCGTTACTGCTTTTCGCACACTTATTCCGAAACGTCCCGCCTCCCTGCGTCAGGATTGGCCAGTTAACACCATCCTGCGTTACAATTGGTCAGTAGTTCGGCGGACCGCTTGTGAATGTGAACGACTGGCCAATCCCAGCGCAGGAAGCGGGTTGTGTCTGAATAGCGGTGGGAAAAAAACAACGCGGACCAACGTGACCAGTAACTAGCAAAAGCAGGACACTGTAGAGCGGTCACTGCAGCAATCCAGAGGGCTCTGCTCAAGAAAGCAATAGAACGGGATGAACAAAGCCCTGTAAACCCTATTCTGTGTTAAATTAATTAATACTATGTGGCTCTTTAGCCTAGGTGAGATGACTGAGGCTGGCAATTGCTGCATCAGACCACACTAGAGATTTAAGGCCCCAAACGAGGGTCCTAGTGCCCTCTGTGTGTTCTACCACCAACTAGTTACCAAGCTCTTTTAAGCATAACACCCCCTAATATTCCTCTGTGGACTAATAGATGTATACTTGTTAACCGGAAATTTTAAAGAATGAATTAAGAATGGTATTTGGTTAATTATTTCCACCTGATGGGTGAAAATGGAGTAATTTTATATTGTAGTATGAAGAGCTGTGTAACAAATTTAATTTCAACTCTCTGGTCAAAGAATGTAATAGAGTGGTTAAAGCCATCCCAACTTGTTTGCATGTAATGATACAGCAGATGGTGATGTAATATTACTCCAAACATGTGTACTGAGGGTATTGAAGGTTGTTATTTTTTTAAGTCAGAAAAAAATTCACAAGAAAAAAATTGTTAAAGAAATACTGACTTTACCAGCTAAGCAGAAAATATATTTTAAAAGATTACAAGGAGGAGATGGCTAAACGTATTAGAAAAAGATAGTTGGTCTATCCAATTTTACCAAAAGCAGAAAAGGTGAATTAAAAAAATTTAAATGATTTATCCATCCAACACGTTTTGAGGAAGAAATTTAATTTAGATACAAAGGAATGTTGTTTTTGTCGCAGTGATATTAAAACTTTGGAACATATTTACTTTCACTGTGAAAAGCAGAACTGAAAACCAACAGCGCCATCCAGTGTTAAAATGCTTAGATACTGAATGTAGACGTAGGCCACAGTTCCTGTGCACAGCTATAGGTCAAGAGCAGAAATAGTTCTTATAGATTGCTATTAACTTCGAAAGCCTCTGCCCTGCATGGACCTCTTCTTCTCACAAGCACTTTTTCTCCTGAAGAGCTTGGTAATTATATACATACACTATGGACAAAAGTATTGGGACACCTGCGCAGGAGTTTTTATGACATCCTGTTCTAAATCCATGGACAATAATATGCAGTTTTTCTCCACTTTGCAGCTATAACAGCTTCCACTCTTCTGGGAAGCTTTCTACAGATTTTAGAATGTGTCTGTTTTTTTTGTCCATTCATCCAGAAGAACATTTGTAAGGTCAGGCACTGACGTTGGGTGAGAGGGCCTGGCTCGCAATCTCCATTCTAGTTCATCCTAAAGGTGTTTGATAGGGTTGAGGGCAGGGCTCTGTGCAGGACAGTCAGGTTCTTCCACACCAAACTCACCCAGCCATGCCTTTATGGAACTTGCTTTGTGCACTAGGGCTCAGTCATGCTGGAACAGAACAGGGCCTTTTCCAAAACTGTTCCCACAAAGTTGGAAGTATATAATTGTCCAAAATATCTTGGTGTGCTAAAACATTAAGATTTACCCTCACTGGAACTAAGGGTCCTAGGCCAACCCCTGAAAAACAACCCAATAGCATTATCCCTCCTCCACCAAACTTTACAGTTGGCACAATGCAGTCAGGCAGGTAACGTTCTGTGATTCGGTTCTGTGACGTGATTCGTCACTCCACGGAATATGTTTCCACTACTCCAGAGTCCGGTGGCAGTGTGCTTTACACCACTCCATTTGAGGCATTTGTCATTGTGCTTATATATATGTATATGTATGTATGTATGTACATATATATATATATGTATATGTATGTATGTATGTACATATATATATATATATATAATTTATGATGTATTAATAATTTAATGTCAGCAACATGTTCCAAAAAAGTTGGGACAGGGGCGACAAAAGACTAGTAAACTTCTGTAATGAAAACACCTGGTGGAACTTCTCACAACTAATTAGGTAAATTGGCAACAGGTCAGTAACATGATTGGGTATAAAAAGGAGCATCCCTTTCTTTCTTTTTGAGTCTTTCAGAAGATGGGGAAGGGTTTACCACCTCTGCAACAATTCAGGAAATAATGTTTCTATTGGGATTTCATCATCTGCCAGACATAACATCATTAAAAGAGAAATCTTAGCGGATGTGGCATAGGTGGCCTATACAAGTTTTGGAGCAACATATGCTGCCATCCACACAATGTCTTTTCAGGGAAGGCCTTGCTTGTTTCAGCAAGACAAAGCTAAACCACGTTCTGCATGTATTACAACAGCATTGCTCCGTATTAAAAGAGTCTGGGTGCTAAACTGGCCTGCCTGCGGTCCAGACCTGTCACCACTGAAAACATTTGGTGCATTATGAAATGAAAAATATGACAAATGAGCCCCTGAACTGTTGAGCAGCTGAAATCATATATCGAACAAGAATGAGAAAACATTTCACTTTCAAAACTAGAGCAGTTGGTCTCCTCAGTTCCCAAACACTTACAGAGTGTTGTTAAAAGGAGAGCAGATGTAACACAGTGGTAAACATGCCCCCGTATTAACTTTTTTGAAACGTCTTGCTGGCATCAAATTCAAAACATATATTTTTCCAAAAAGAAACAACAAAATTTAACCGTTTAAATGTTTTATATATTCCCTTATTACTATTTTTCAATTACATACCAGGTTTAAATTATTTGCACATTTTTGCATTTTGTTTTTATTTACGTTTTGCACAGCATCCCAACTTTTTTGGAAACGTTGTGTATGCGTGTATGTGTATATATGAGCCAGGCCCTCTCATCTGACATCAGTGTCTGACCTCACAAATGCTCTTCTTGATGAATGGGCAAAAATTCCCAAAGACTAATTCCGGAATCTTGTAGAAAGCGTTCCAGACGAGTGGAAGCTGTTATAGCTGCAAAGAGGGGACTAACACCATATTAATGCCTGTGGACCTAGAATGGGAAGTTATAAAATTTCCTGTAGGTGTAAAGTGTAGGTGTCCCAAAACTTTTATCCATATAGTGTATGTATTTATGTAATTTCCAAGCTCTTTATGAGAAAATAAAGTGCTTGTGAGAAAAAAAGTTCTGTGCAGGGCAGTGGTTTTCGAAGTTAATAGCAATCTATAAGAACTATTTCTGCTCTTGACCTATAGCTGTGCACAGGAACTGTGGCCTCTGTTAAATGACGTCTACATTCAGTATCTAAGCATTTTAACACTGGATGGCGCTGTTGGTTTTCAGTTCTGCTCTGCTTTTGAGCTGATGTACGCCAGTGTCTTCCAGCTGCAGCCATAAAGTCAGGGCCCTTTCTCTATATTTGTGGGCCCCAATTAACATAAACAGCCACTATGGTGCAACTAAAACTTCAGCCAGTAGCATCTAATGTTAACATCAAGCCCTATCATATTGTTTTATATGCAAGAATGAAAAATTAATACTTATTCATTATGATCAGAAAAATTCAGATCACTTTAAAACAAATAAGCAACAAATACCCACGGGGCCCCCTGGTGGAGTGGGGGCCCTCTTAGACAGCTTATACCAATTATAGCATGTTTTATTTTTTCCAATATGGTAACCTCAGAAATAAATAAAAAGTGTACATTAACCTTGTTTGTTCCCTGTAAAGGATGTGTTAACTCATGTTCACTTAGGAAATCAAGAAAACGTGTGCTTTGACCAGGGGTTTTTAAACTTCTTCAAATGACTGTATATGTGTCTCTAGGTCTTTTCGTAGGATGATGATAAAATGCCAACCGCAAGCTTTTCTGTTCTGATTTTAAATTCATTTTGTACAACCTGGCTGGGCCAGCTGGTCTATATGTACTTGTTAGGGAATATCTTTAGCAATTTTTGTTTTTTGTCTGTTCTTTACATTTATTCATAAACCTTAGTTTTTACTTTACTTTCTACCCCACCTACTAAAAATCAAACTCATGGTTTGTTTTCAGTCCTAGCTTTTAAAACGGCACCACAGTTTTAAACAACTACGTGCTCTTTTTAGGCTCTTTGCCAGTAATTGCTTTTTTATATTAGCCCTGCCATCTGTTTGGCATTATAAATGATAGCAGTACATTTTCTCTTACCTACTCATAGTATCAATAATGTATTTGTGGATTATATTAATCTGTGTAATGTCATTTAGCATTCTCTCTGGATGAATCTTCACAAAAGATCTATAAACAGCAGGACATGTTGGTCATTTAAAAGCATGGATGACAAATTGATACTAATGGCTCATCATGGTAGATTCTGGGCTGAGCTTCACTCTGTCTTAATTTGTTTACTCAAACTACAGCTGTGGTTCTAAATCTCTTATTTATTTTAGAGAACTTTTCCTGAAGGCAAGCTTTCTGAAAAACACTGAATGTGGGGTCTTACAATGCTGGACAGGCTTTATTTTTTATATCAGCTATTTGAAACGGTAGGTTGTTTAAATGATCAGTGATTCAGTAACATCTGATAGTACTTCAGAATGATGTTTCACAAAATGCCTCTTAATAACTGAGAATCGCATATTTTTGCTCACTTGTTTGCTCACAGCTGGGGTGAAATGTTGGTGTTGGATAAAAAAGCATAGCTTCACAGAAAGCTCTTTGTTGGCACTAGAATTGTTTTTTACAAATATATATGTGGTTTCTTTTTAGTGGTGTGACAAGAATCTTTTTCGCCCAAGTGCAAAAAAAGTAATGCCCTCACCCCCCTGTACGCAAATTGCTTTCATTGTAATTCGAAATCACAGTGCATTTTGCTTTTTTGCTCATTATTGTTATGCATCAAACAAGTTGACGCTCTCAAGACACTTCACCCAATAGCAACTGATGCTAACTTAAATGTTT